CTGGATTTTTGTTTTAGATTCCGTCTCTCACAGTTGAAGTGTACCTATGATAAAAATTACAGACCTCTACATGCTTTGTAAGTAGGAAAACCTGCAAAATCGGCAGTGTATCAAATACTTGTTCTCCCCACTGTATATCATTAGAAAGCCCAGTGCAGTCACAATTGTTTTATATCATGTATGTACAACAGATGATGAAACTAACGCTGTAATAGTGTAGAACATGTTTGTTCCTGATAGTTGCTGGTTGAAATACGATCCACACAGGACCTTCTAATCAGCAGGTTTGCATGGGCGGGAGTTTCAGCTTTCCATGGTGATATCACCGTGCGGTAACAAAATTGGTCATCGACCAATAACAAAGAGAGTGCCAAACCTCTGCCAATAACAGCTAGTTTCCAGTTTTCCCAGTTTTCAGATCACTCCCAGACAGTCCAACATTCTTGCTTGAGACTTTTTGTAAATCTATTACGGTAAGGTACTAAATTGTTACCCACAAATGATTTGATATAAAATAAAATAAATGCTGGGCCTTTAATGTAGTGTTTTCATATGAATGGTTGAATGTACAGAATGTACTGTGTGCTATCTACATACCTGCTAATGGCTGAGTGTTTTATCTGGGAAAATAATGGAAAGGGTAGCTTTTACTGGCCTTGTCAGATCCTTTTTGGTCGAAGCGATGCCAGTAAAATTCAGGAGCGTTGAAACAGTGTATGGGTATTCACCTTAGCGCCATGGCAGTTGGTGTAACATTGTACTGAGTGTGTTCTCTCTGTGATCTCTGCTGCCCCTCTGTTTTCACACCACAGCCTGAGGGTATTAATCTCTCTGTCACACTTCTCTCTCTCTCTCTCCCCCTCCCTCCCTCCCTCCCTCCCCCTCTCTAGTGATCTAGTGAATGGTCTGGTGTCGTTGATGAACAGTAACATCAGCAGCCCAGTCAACCTGGTAAGTCCAAAATACCGGTATCCTCTATGTCTGTGTCATTACATGTGTTTTAAATCGTCAAAAAGAACTGATACATCTCTGATGATTGGGTAAAAAATAATAGCATAATATATTGACAACATTATATGGTAACATAAGACCTCTCCACACACACAGTAGCCAGGCCAGGGGATAATAGTTGTGGTTTTTCAGTCATACTGTGAGATGTATCTGTACACCCAGTTCTCTATAGTACCTGTCTGGTTACAGAATGGATGGACATTTCAGAGTAGTAGGAGAGATCGTGTATAGAGGCTGGCTGACGTATATTACTGACACTCACTCTCTCTCACACACACACACACACACACACACCGTGACTGTGCTCTGATCCACCACATTGTCCTGCTTTGACACAAAGGTTGTTGTGCAGCACAGTGCTAAATTGCTTCTGAAAGGGTGTGTGTGTGTGTGTGTGTCTTCCTTCCTTGATCTGCTGTGCTGGTTCATGTAATCTGCCTGTAGGGGAACCCGGAAGAACACACCATATTGGAGTTTGCGGAGCTCATCAGGAGTCTGGTGGGTGAGTGTCCGATCAACAGACAAGCCCTCTGCAGCAGCACCTCTCCCTTTCCTTCCACTCCTTCCACTCCTCCCACTCCTTCCATTCCTTCCACTCCTTCCACTCCTCCCACTCCTTCCATTCCTTCCACTCCTTCCACTCTTTCCACTCCTCCCATTCCTTCCACTCCTCCTTCCACTCCTCCCCACTCCTCCCACTCCTCCCACTCCTTCCACTCCTCCCACTCCTTCCACTCCTCCCATTCCTTCCACTCCTCCCACTCCTTCCACTCCTTCCACTCCTCCCATTCCTCCCATTCCTCCCACTCCTCCCATCCTCCCACTCCTCCCACTCCTTCCCTTCCTTCCACTCCTTCCCATTCCTTCCACTCCTCCCCTTCCTCTCCACTCCTCCCACTCCTTCCACTCCTCCCACTCCTTCCCCCTCCTCCCACTCCTCCCACTCCTCCCATTCCTTCCACTCCTCCCCCTCCTTCCCACTCCTTCCACTCCTCCCATTCCTCCACTCCTCCTCCCACTCCTTCCACTTTCCTTCCACTCCTCCCACTCCTTCCATTCCTTCCATTCCTTCCACTCCTTCCACTCCTCCCACTCCTCCCACTCCTTCCACTCCTCCCACTCCTTCCACTCCTCCCACTCCTCCCACTCCTCCCACTCCTTCCTTTCCTTCCACTCCTCCCACTCCTTCCATTCCTTCCCACTCCTCCCACTCCTCCCACTCCTTCCACTCCTCCCACTCCTTCCACTCCTCCCACCATGTTCCTTTGCTTTCTTCAACTATAACAGATTGCACCTAACTGAACCCTTTTCTACCTCCCTTTTGTGTCTATCTCCACACACACTTAGTGAGCCGCAGTCAGATCCAGTTCCTTCCAGAGGCGCAGGATGACCCTCAGAGACGACGCCCCGACATTCGCAAAGCCAAGATGATGCTGGGCTGGGAACCTGTGGTCAGTATACACACACACACGTGCTAGACACAAACGTGCGTACATACACGACTGCATATATATGTATACACACACACACTCATGCGGCTAGACAGACACACACTCTCAATGCATTTAATCATAATTCTACTACACATACAATGATCTTCTATAAGACGTGTGTGTTGTTGTGTTACCAGGTGCCATTAGAGGAGGGTCTGAATAAGACCATCCAGTACTTCAGCCGGGAGCTGGAGCACCAGGCCAACAACCAGTACATCCCCAAACCCAAGGCAGCCCGCCATAAGAAAGGACGACCCAGACAACACAACTGAGGTCAAGGGTCACGCCATCCCCTAAGGCTGCTGGGACACTGGAGGACCCAGGACCCTCAGAGAACTCTCTTGAGTTCGGCACGAAGAAGAAATAGAATTGTTCCTGTGTCTGCTGTGGTTTTTACACTCCCGTGGGGCATTGCTTTTCAGACAGACAGACAGACGTGCCTGAAAGAAATAATAGAATCACAAACAGAGAAAAAAAAAACAGACAACGATTGGAAACCAGTCTTGCACTCTGGGTTTTTTTTTGTCAATACACGCTGTTATTTAAGAGCAGGCTTGAGAGAAGTGTTTTGTTGCGTTGTTCACACTGTGCAGTTGTGTCATTTGTTGTGTTCGGTTGACGTGATCTATTTTATTACCTGCATCCTGTCTCTTAAGTAAAAGACTGCTTTGTATTCCAACCATTGCAGCATTGGAGGTTACACTTGCTCTGGTGCTGTGCAGTGAGCTGTAAGCCTGGACACAAACACACGCCACTCAGGAGTGCGTTTCTGTGTCACTGTGTGTTTGTCTCGTGGTTCTGAGTAACTTTTGTGATATCCTTTGTGAAAGCTCTACTGTCAAATCGGAAATCCGGAAATCTTATATAATCCATTTTAGGTGAAGATGCTATTTTAATAAAATATTTCCAATAAATGTCTCCCATGTGTACGTGTGTGACTTCTAAAACCTTGTTGTCACTGTTGCTATTCTGGTTCCAATCTGGAGGTGGGGAGGTTAGTCAATAATGTGAGGCAGAGCTGAGCGATGAGTCCGTCTTTATTTACACTCACTGATCCTCTAGAGATCCTAGACCAACAAACAATACACACCCAATACAAACAGAACACAACAGCAGCTGGTGTAAAGTGATCGGAAGAGAAAAGACAGATCTGGAGCAGGAGCCGGGGGCATTAAGTTAGATTGGTGTTAGGCTGGGGAGAAGTGTGAGAGAGGTTCATTTAGGGTAGAGGAGGAAAGGGACGTGCTTGGTTTAGTTTAAGTTTAGTTTCATTTATTTGCACCAAACAATACAGTTAAAATCTGTGTGAAGGTGTGATTGGAAGCCCAAGGGTTTATATGAAAACAATTTACAATACATAAGTGTAAAAATAACAGTTTATTAAAACAGATAGCAAAACCTACTAATTATAAATATATAAATGAATTGATCAGTAATCACGCAAAAAAAGAACTTTGTTTTGTTTAAATGTGTGTGTGCATGTGAGTGTATGAGAGTTCGGCTATATGGAGGAGATTACTGAGTAGTTTGGTTCATCAGGCTGACCCCCATTCTTCATGGAGGAGATTACTGAGTAGTTTGGTTCATCAGGCTGACCCCCAGTCTTCATGGAGGAGATTACTGAGTAGTTTGGTTCATCAGGCTGACCCCCAGTCTTCATGGAGGAGATTACTGAGTAGTTTGGTTCATCAGGCTGACCCCCAGTCTTCATGGAAGAGATGACTGAGTAGTTTGGTTCATCAGGCTGACCCCCAGTCTTCATGGAGGAGATTACTGAGTAGTTTGGTTCATCAGGCTGACCCCCAGTCTTCGCTTGAAGTTATTGAGGGATGAGGATGTTTTAGCAATGTGAAGATAAGAATTCCAGAGCATGGTACCTCTGTATCTGATAGAAAATTGACTATGTGAGGTGTGGCAGTGGGGAGGGTGAAGGTTATCGCAATGTCTTGTGTTATATAGATGGATTTCAGAATTAACCTGGAAGAATCCATTGAAGGGTTTAGGTAAACTGTCTGGGAGGTATGAATATTTGTAGATGAAAGTGCATAATTGGTGTACATTAATGTCGTAAATAGAAAAGATATTGAGTTTCTTAAACAAAGGTGCAGATGGAGCCAGGTAATTAGAGGAGGTGGCTAGTCTTGCAAATTTATTTTGTATGATGAGTCATTTGTGTAGGTAGGAGGCATATGTACTGGCCCAGACAATATTACAGTAAATTAGATATGGGTCAATTAAGCTATAGTATAGAGTTAGGAAGCAAGCCTGATGAACCAAAACACTAATCTTTCTGGTGAAAAGCATGAGCTGATGCACTCCCAACATTTTTTGTTGAGGTGCTGATTAACGGAGAGTAGACTGTATACAAAGAAAGAAATGAAGTTGCACACTATGTAATGGAGAAATAGAGAGGGGACAGGGGTTAGAAGTAGTGGAGGAAGAGAGAAGTTAGTCTTACATTTTGAGAGAGGGAGTGAGACAGAGCGTGTGGAGTTACTAGTAGTCATAGTTAACGTTGGCTCCATGACGGTGTGCCCCTCTGTCTCTGGGTCCAATGGGAGAGTTCTCCTCATAATGGTGCTGACAACTCTGATCGCTGGACCGCGAGTGGTCCATCCAGTAGGACAAGTCCGTCTCCAGTCTCTGGAGAGGGAAAAAACATGACCAAAACCTCTCAACTTCAGCCTAACTCAAAAGATCTGAAACATTGGAAAGGTGCAAGAAATATGGTACAATTTCCACTCAGCTCATTAGAGAACAGGGTTAAGCAATCAACTAGTTTCTCATACCCTTCAGATCCTTTCAGATCTACTGGAGTGCTTAGGGGGTAAGGGAGTAGGAGCTAGGAGCTAGGGGGTAAGGGGCTATGGAGTTGATTTGCTTGTCAGCAGATGTTGTGGAGATGACTTGGAACAGGACGGCTGTTGGAGTATAGACCAACATGGTTTAAAATGCCGAGGCTGTCGGATCCAACAGCAAGAGAGGCAAGTTCAGGCAACAGGAAATTACACCTACCCAGGAAGTCATTAAAGCAATCCTACCAATTGACCTACAGGAGCTGTCAACTGTCTACAGAACTGAGGAGCAAACACAACTTTCTCTCTCCCTCCCTCCCCTCTCTCCCTCCCTCCCTCCCTCCCTCCCTCCCTCCCTCCCTCCCTCCCTCCCTCGTGTTTCTAAAAAGATCTCCATCGGAATCATTGATCTGGAAGAAACATAGCAAGAGAGGGAAAAAAGCTTGTAAGTGTGTGTGTGTATTCAAGGTGTGTCAGGCCCAGTGATGACCATAGTGGTGGAGGATAATTATCTCCTTTGAATAGAGTCTCTAGGTCCTTCTGTGACAGAAACGTCCATCTGCTTTTGTCTAGTCTGATAACGACTACAAACTAGCCTGGGCATTATCCCTCCTCCATCTATAGATGTGTTTCACTGTATATTATAATGTACATTCATGCTTTATTTATTTATTTACTCTACGTAAATTAGACACCTGTGACATTCTATCTTAGCTGCACGTATAACTAATGACTCAGAGATTTATTTATGCACCTCGAGATAACACCTGCACCTTCAAGATACTACCTGCCCAACCTCAGAGACTACTGCACCTCAGAGACTACCTGCACCTCAGAGACTACCTGCACCTCAGAGACTACCTGCACCTCAGAGACTACCTGCACCTCAGAGACTACCTGCACCTCAGAGACTACCTGCACCTCAGAGACTACCTGCACCTCAGAGACTACCTGCACCTCAGAGATACGACCGTACCTGCACCTCAGAGACTACCTGCACCTCAGAGACTACCATGCACCTCAGAGACTACCTGCCACCTGCAGAGACTACCTGCACCTCAGAGACTACCTGAACCTCATGGATCACTGCACCGTAACAATATTTGCACTGGACTACCACACAGCCTCATGGGCGGCGTCACATTGGCCCAGCGTGCCAGGTAGGGAGGGAATGGCCAGCAGGGATGTAGCTCAGTTGATAGAGCATGGCGTTTGCAACGCCAGGGTTGTGGGTTCGATTCCCACGGGGGGCCAGTATAAAAAAAATATGTATTCACATATAAGAGCGTCTGCTAAATGACTAAAATGTAATGTAAATGTAATATAGGTCTGTAACAGTTTGGATCTAGAGTGTCACCCCGTTTGAAGAGGGGGATGACCGCGGCAGCTTTCCAATCTCTGGGGATCTCAGACGTTATGAAAGAGAGGTTGAACAGGCTAGTAATAGGGGTTGCGACAATTTCGGCGGCTAATTTTAGAAAGAAAGGGTCCAGATTGTCTAGCCCAGCTGATTTGTAGGGGTCCAGACTTTGCAGCTCTTTCAGAACATCAGCTGTCTGAATTTGGGTGAAGGAGAAGAGGGGGGGGGGGGCATGGGCAAGTTGCAGCGGAGGGTGCAGAGCTGGTGGCCGGGGTAGGGGTAGCCAGGTGGAAAGCATGGCCAGCCGTAGCAAAATGCTTGCTGAAAATCTCGATTATCGGTGATGACAGTGTTTCCTAGCCTCAGTGCAGTGGGCAGCTGGGAGGAGGTGCTCTTATTCTCCATGGACTTTACAGTGTCCCAAAACTTTTTGGAGTTAGTGCTACAGGATGCAAATTTCTGTTTGAAAAAGCAAGCCATTGCTTTCCTAACTGATTGTGTATATTGGTTCCTGACTTCCCTGAAAAGTTGCATAATGGCCCATAGTAGGGTCAGGTCACAGCGTCAGATTAAACTCAAGGCCCTACCTCATTCTGTGACCCCTCTCCTCACTGTTTCAGGGGGAGTTGGAATATGCATTAAAAAAACACTTGTACATGTGTGAAATTATTTATTATTCAAGCCTCCTGGCCTCGCTCACCGTCTCGTCAAAGCCCATGTACATGAACTGCATGATCCACTGCTGCACGTCTGGCCTGCTGCGGTCCCAGATGTTCCTCTTGGGCCTCCATAGCTTGACCAGGAACTCTCTGGCCTTGGCGGGAGGCAACAGCCACCCCGGACTTAGAGGGAGCGCTACCGTCACCCACCACTGGGGGGAGGCAGAGAGGAGACGTGTAACAGGAGTAGAATGTAAAGTACTAGCAGTGTGTAATGTGTGTATGTAAAAGCTATCTGTCAATATTACCATCTCTTTTCTTCAGGATCTTGTGAAGGCTGCTCTCACTGGAAACATCTGCTAAAGAGAGTCAATAGGACACTTAGTAGTGTTAATGGGGTTTAATGTATAGCCTAGAATCCTTTAGCAAGGGAGAGGAGACTGTACTGTAAGTCCATTGTGATTATTAAGTTAGAGCGTGGTGTGATAAAGCCCAGCTCATTCAGTAGAGGCTTAAATAATAATAATAATAATATGCCATTTAGCAGACGCTTTTATCCAAAGCGACTTACAGTCATGCGTGCATAAATTTTTACGTATGGGTGGTCCCGGGGATCGAACCCACTACCTTGGCGTTACAAGCGCCGTGCTCTACCAGCTGAGCTACAGAGGACCACACATGCATGTGTGTGTGTAACACACACAGACAGACAGACAGACAGACAGACAACCGACGCGCCGCCCAAAAGCCCGCAGTTTGCAAAGGGGAGAAGGGAAAGGGCAGAGATAAGGGAAAACAAATTTCCCCCGAAAAAGAATCAGCCTAGCAGCGCCGACAGCGACAGCAGCGCCCAGCAGCGCCCAGCAGGCTCAAACAGCCCCGAGGCCCCCGCAGCGCAGAAGGAAGAGGCGACTAGCTGCCCAACAAAAAGCAGAGTAGACTTCCCCAGAATCACGGCGCAAACCCCACCCCCTCCACATCCCCCACGCAGGCAAACTCCCACATTTAAAAGGGGAAAGAAGACAGCAGAAAAGCCCCGACGGGAAGGGCAGGACCCAGCCAGAGTTTAGGACACAACATGCGCGCACAAAGAACACAGGCCTCAGAAGAAACAACCAACACCAAAAGGGTACAGCAATAAACGACAAAGAATTTTCCCCACACACACAAACAAAGGAAAACAACCAAATCAAACAAAAGTCCACATGTTAGCAGATAATTGCAAGATCATTCCCATGAAATTTCTATCAGCCTAGCAGTCTGTCTCCTAGCAGTCTGTCTCCTAGCAGTCTGTCTCCTAGCAGTCTGTCTCCTAGCAGTCTGTCTCCTAGCAGTCTGTCTCCTAGCAGTCTGTCTAGAGAGGAAGAGGGCTGTTTACTATTTGCTGCCTCACATTCACATTAATGATGAGTGAGACTTTCCACTGAGATTTGCCTGGTCTGCTATCTTATCCTCCCTCCCTCTTTCCCTCCCTCGCTCTCCCTCTTTCCCCTCTTCTTCCCTGTCTAGGCAACTCTTCTCGCTCATTAAAATGGTGGTAACGAGACAGCTAGAAAAGCCTTTTGAGGTGAAAGGGATTCATGGAATTTCCATGGCCAGTTAGTTTTCAGTGACACATTAAGTCCATTGTCGCTTGTCTCCTATTTTAGAATCTACAGTGCCTTCAGAAAGTATTCACACACCATTACTTTTTCCACATGTTTTTGTGTTACAGCCTGAATTTAAAATTGATTCAATTGAGACTTTGTGCCACTGATCTACACACAATACTAAAGTGGAATTTTGTTTTTAGACATTTTTACAAATTAATACAAAATGTGAAGCTGAACTGTCTTGAGTCAATAAGTATTCAACCCCTTTGTTATGGCAAGCCTAAATAAGTTCAGGAGTAAACATGTGCTTAACAAGTCACATAAGTTGCATGGACTCACTCTGTGTGCAATAATAGTGGTTAACATGATTTTTAAATGACTACCCCATCTCTGTACCCCACACATATAATTATCTGTAAGGTCCCTAAGTTGAGCTGTGAATAAAGACCAGGAAGGTTTTCTAATGCCTCGCAAAGAAGGCAGGTGTTCCTTAAAGAGGTGGGGTTTCAAGTGTCTCCGGAAGGTGGTCAGTGACTCCACCATTGGGGTACCAGAGTAGCGAACAGTTTTGACTGGGCTGAGCGGGAACTGTGCTTCCGCAGAGGTAGGGGGACCAGCAGGCCAGAGGTGGAAGAACGCAATGCCCTCGTTTGGGTGTAGGGACTGATCAGAGCCTGAAGGTAAGGAGGTGCCGTTCCCCTCACAGCTCCGTAGGCAAGCACCATGGTCTTGTAGCAGATGCGAGCTTCAACTGGAAGCCAGTGGAGTGTGCGGAGGAGTGGGGTGACGTGAGAGAACTTGGGAAGGTTGAACACCAGACGGGTGAATACAAAGCATTATGTTTGGGGCAAATCCAACACAACACATCACTGAGTACCACTCTTCATATTTTCAAGCATGGTGGTGGCTGCATCATACTACGGGTATGCTTGTCATCGGCAAGGACTAGGGAGTGTTTTAGGATAAAAATAAACAGAATAGGGCGAAGCACAGGGAAAATCCTAGCGGAAAACCTGGGTCAGTCTGCTTTCCAACAGACACTGGGAGACAAATTCACCTTTCAGCAGGACAATAACCTAAAATTCAAAGCCAAATATACACTGGAGTTGTTACCAAGATGACAGTGAATGTTCCTGAGTGGCCTTGTAAAAGTTTTTACTTAAATCGGCTTGAAAATCTATGGCAAGACTTGAAAATGGCTGTCTAGCGATGATCAACAACCAACTTGACAGAGCTTGAAGAGTTTAGAATAATGGGCAAAGCTCTTAGAGACTTAGCCAAAAAGACTCACAGCTGTAATTGCTGCCAAAGCTGATTCTAACATTACATTTTAGTCATTTAGCAGACGCTCTTATCCAGAGCGACTTACAGTTAGTGAGTGCATACATTTTCATACTGGCCCCCCGTGGGAAACGAACCCACATCCCTGGCGTTGCAAGCGCCATGCTCTACCAACTGAGCTACAGGGGACTAAAATGTATTGACTCAGGGGGTTGAATACTTATCTAATCAAGATATATTAGTGTTTTATTTGTCATTAATCTTCCACTTTGACATTACAGATTATTTTGTGTAGATCGTTTATTTTAAAAAAGACAATTAAATCAATTTTAATCCCAATTTGTAACACAACAAAATGTGGAAAAAGTCAAGGGGTGTGAATACTTTCTGAAGGCACTGTACATTTCACTCCCAACTCTGTTTTGTCTGCAGTCTTCCCTCCTCTTCCTCTTTCCACTGTTAGGTTCTAAACAAACAGAGTAAAAACTCAAATGGATGACTAGGAAAAGCTCAAAACAAGTTTATTCCCTACTGGGTCAAACAGCTGCAAAGACATGTTTACACAATCACCTATATTTATACCCTCCTACTAGGAGGAGTCAACTCCTTGCACATCTAGACAGCCAATCCATCTCTGTTGCTAAATCAGGACATTAATTGGTTCCTCTCATTGGTGTAGTCATGGCCCCGCCTCCTATGTGTGTATGTCATAGGACTGTTCCTTGTCACTTCATCTGACCTGACCTCGGGACGAATTCCTCACTCCTCCCTTCTCCACGGCTGTCCTACCTTATCAGTGACTGAAACCAGACTGTTGCCCTTTGCCCCCTCCTTGGATCCATGATATTTAACAATACCATGTTTTAACATGTAAAGTAGTTTTAGTATAGTAACATGAATAAGTATACAGTTGAAGTCGGAAGTTTACATACACTTAGGTTGGAGTCGTTAAAACTCGTTTTTCAACCACTTCACAAATGTCTTGTTAACAACCTATAGTTTTGGCAAGTCGGTTAGGACATCTACTTTGTGCATGACAAGTAATTTTTCCAACAATTGTTTACAGACAGATTATTTTACTTATAATTCACTGTATCACAATTCCAGTGGGTCAGAAGTTTGCATACACTAAGTTGACTGTGCCATTAAACAGCTTGGAAAATTCCAGAAAATGATGTCATGGCTTTAGAAGCTTCTGATAGGCTAATTGACATCATTTGAGTCAATTGGAGGTGTACCTGTGGATGTATTTCAAGGCCTACCTTCAAACTCAGTGCCTCTTTGCTTGACATCATGGGAAAATCAAAAGAAATCAGCCAAAAAAAATGGTAGACCTCCACAAGTCTGGTTCATCCTTGGGAGCAATTTCCAAACACCTGAAGGTACCACGTTCATCTGTACAAACAATAGTACGCAAGTATAAACACCATGGGACCACGCAGCCATAATATCGCTCAGGAAGGAGACGCGTTCGTCTCCTAGAGATGAACGTACTTTGGTGCAAAAAGTGCAAATCAATCCCAGAACAACAGCAAAGGACCTTGTGAAGATGCTGGAGGAAACAGGTACAAAAGTATCTATATCCACAGTAAAACGAGTCCTATATCGACATAACCTGAAAGGCTGCTCAGCAAGGAAGAAGACACTGTTCCAAAACCGCCATAAAAAAGCTAGACTACAGTTTGCAACAGCACATGGGGACAAAGATCGTACTTTTTGGAGAAATGTTCTCTGGTCTGATGAAACAAAAATAGAACTGTTTGGCCATAATGACCATCGTTATGTTTGGAGGAAAAAGTGGGTACCTTGCAAGCCGAAGAACACCATCCCAACCGTGAAGCACGGGGGTGGCAACATCATTCTGTGGGGGTGCTTTGCTGCAGGAGGGACTGGTGCACTTCACAAAATAGATGGCATCATGAGGAAGGAAAATTATGTGGATATATTGAAGCAACATCTCAAGACATCAGTCAGGAAGTTAAAGCTTGGTCGCAAATGGGTCTTCCAAATGGACAATGACCCCAAGCATACTTCCAAAGTTGTGGCAAAATGGCTTAAGGACAACAAAGTCAAGGTATTGGAGTGGCCATCACAAAGCTCTGACCTCAATCCTATAGAACATTTGTGGGCATAACTGAAAGAGCGTGTGCGAGCAAGGAGGCCTACAAACCTGACTCAGTTACACCAGCTCTGTCAGGAGGAATGGGCCAAAATTCACCCAACTTAATGTGGGAAGCTTGTGGAAGGCTACCCAAAACGTTTGACCCAAGTTGAACAATTTAAAGGCAATGCTACCAAATACTAATCGAGTGTATGTAAACTTCTGACCCACTGGGAATGTGATGAAAGAAATAAAAGCTTTAAAAAATCATTATCTCTACTATTATTCGGACATTTCACATTCTTAACATAAAGTGATGATCCTAACTGACCTACGACAGGGAATTTTAACCAGGATTAAATGTCAGGAATTGTGAAAAACTGAGTTTAAATGTATTTGGCTAAGGTGTATGTAATCTTACGAGTTCAACTGTATATTTCAAGCTAGAATCCAACACCACGCAAGAGAAAGAAACGTCTTATGCATTCATTCATTATGTAAAAATAACTCAGCACTCACCTTAGATAATTCAAATACCCAATAAAGCTTCATAAAACACACCATCAACCTTCAAACTTGAGGTTCTTAAATAACTACATGAATTAACACGTCGATATATCAGATGTTGCTTCAGAAGCTGTGTTAATCTAAGTTTGGTTCCATATGGGTGAAATCAAATGATCTCGCGTAGTAAGAGGTATGTGGGGGGACAGAGTGATAGATGGGAGGAGATGGAGACAGAAAGATAGTTGAAAGAAAGACTTGGATATGAAGAGAGCTATAGAGAGAGGGGGACAGGACGAGAGAGCGAGGGCCAGCAGTGTGAGCAGAGCGGTGAGCCCCACCAGCCTCAGATAAAGCTGCTGGGAAGCCATGATGTTCCCTTTGCTCTTGCGTTCTGACCCGTCTAATTGCAACACACATATACAGGGGGAGGAGGGGGAGGGGCCACGAGCCAAACGTTCCGATCGGAGTGGCTTAATGTCGTTTATCCCAAAATCCAACCCACAGAAACGGGCCTGTCTGAAGTAGTTTTTTCTCCTGGGGTACTTTTCCATCCAGTAAGTACAGCAGCAGCAGTGAGAGAGGAATTTTAACCGTATAACTGCTGTCCTCCCTATACACTTTATACCGTTTATAACTGCTGTCCTCCCTATACACTTTATACCGTTTATAACTGCTGTCCTCCCTATACAGTTTATACCGTTTATAACTGCTGTCCTCCCTATACAGTTTATACCGTTTATAACTGCTGTCCTCCCTATACAGTTTATACCGTTTATAACTGCTGTCCTCCCTATACAGTTTATACCGTTTATAACTGCTGTCCTCCCTATACCGTTTATACTGTTTATAACTGCTGTCCTCCCTATACCGTTTATACTGTTTATAACTGCTGTCCTCCCTATACAGTTTATACTGTTTATACCTGCTGTCCTCCCTATACAGTTTATACTGTTTATAACTGCTGTCCTCCCTATACAGTTTATACCGTTTATACCGTTTATACCGTTTATAAATGCTGTCCTCCCTATACAGTTTATACCGTTTATAACTGCTGTCCTCCCTATACAGTTTATACTGTTTATAACTGCTGTCCTCCCTATACTGTTTATACCGTTTATAACTGCTGTCCTCCCTATACAGTTTATACTGTTTATAACTGCTGTCCTCCCTATACAGTTTATACTGTTTATAACTGCTGTCCTCCCTATTCGGTTTATACTGTTTATAACTGCTGTCCTCCCTATACAGTTTATACCGTTTATACCGTTTATACCGTTTATAAATGCTGTCCTCCCTATACAGTTTATACCGTTTATAACTGCTGTCCTCCCTATACAGTTTATACTGTTTATAACTGCTGTCCTCCCTATACTGTTTATACCGTTTATAACTGCTGTCCTCCCTATACAGTTTATACCGTTTATACCGTTTATACCGTTTATAAATGCTGTCCTCCCTATACAGTTTATACCGTTTATAACTGCTGTCCTCCCTATACAGTTTATACTGTTTATAACTGCTGTCCTCCCTATACAGTTTATAACCGTTTATAACTGCTGTCCTCCCTATACAGTTTATACCGTTTATACCGTTTATAAATGCTGTCCTCCCTATACAGTTTATACCGTTTATAACTGCTGTCCTCCCTATACAGTTTATACTGTTTATAACTGCTGTCCTCCCTATACTGTTTATACCGTTTATAACTGCTGTCCTCCCTATACTGTTTATACCGTTTATAACTGCTGTCCTCCCTATACAGTTTATACCGTTTATAACTGCTGTCCTCCCTATACAGTTTATACCGTTTATAACTGCTGTCCTCCCTATACAGTTTATACCGTTTATAAATGCTGTCCTCCCTATACTGTTTATACCGTTTATAACTGCTGTCCTCCCTATACAGTTTATACCGTTTATCACCGTTTATAAACGTTTATAAATGCTGTCCTCCCTATACAGTTTATACCGTTTATAACTGCTGTCCTCCCTATACAGTTTATACCGTTTATAACTGCTGTCCTCCCTATACAGTTTATACTGTTTATAACTGCTGTCCTCCCTATACAGTTTATACCGTTTATAACTGCTGTCCTCCCTATACAGTTTATACCGTTTATAAATGCTGTCCTCCCTATACTGTTTATACCGTTTATAACTGCTGTCCTCCCTATACAGTTTATAAACCGTTTATACCGTTTATACCGTTTATAACTGCTGTCCTCCCTATACCGTTTATATACCGTTATAACTGCTGTCCTCCCTATACGTTTATACCGTTTATAATGCTGTCCTCCCTATACTGTTTATACCGTTTATAACTGCTGTCCTCCCTATACAGTTTATAACCGTTTATACCGTTTATAAACCGTTTATAAATGCTGTCCTCCCTATACAGTTTATAACCGTTTATAACTGCTGTCCTCCCTATACGTTTATACCGTTTATAACTGCTGTCCTCCCTATACAGTTTATACTGTTTATAACTGCTGTCCTCCCTATACAGTTTATAACCGTTTATAAATGCTGTCCTCCCTATACCGTTTATACCGTTTATAAATGCTGTCCTCCCTATACTGTTTATACCGTTTATAACTGCTGTCCTCCCTATACAGTTTATACCGTTTATACCGTTTATACCGTTTATAAATGCTGTCCTCCCTATACAGTTTATACCGTTTATAACTGCTGTCCTCCCTATACTGTTTATACCGTTTATAACTGCTGTCCTCCCTATACAGTTTATACTGTTTATAACTGCTGTCCTCCCTATACAGTTTATACCGTTTATAAATGCTGTCCTCCCTAGTACAGTTTTATACCGTTTATAAATGCTGTCCTCCCTATACAGTTTATACTGTTTATACCGTTTATAACTGCTGTCCTCCCTATACAGTTTATACTGTTTATAACTGCTGTCCTCCCTATACAGTTTATACTGTTTATAACTGCTGTCCTCCCTATACCGTTTATACCGTTTATACTGTTTATAACTGCTGTCCTCCCTATACAGTTTATACTGTTTATAACTGCTGTCCTCCCTATACCGTTTATACTGTTTTATAACTGCGTCCTCCCTATACAGTTTTATACTGTTTATAACTGCTGTCCTCCCTATACAGTTTATACTGTTTTAAACTGCTGTCCTCCCTATACAGTTTATACTGTTTATAACTGCTGTCCTCCCTATACAGTTTATACTGTTTATAACTGCTGTCCTCCCTATACAGTTTATACTGTTTATACCGTTTATACCGTTTATACCGAAGGTTTATACCGAAGGTGAACTTGCAAACCTGAGCCAACCATAAACCTCTGAATTGTTACCACCCAATTAAGTCGACTCAATTAACTTTGCTGAGAAAGTGTCAAAATGGAGGCTGAGAGAGAGAGAGAGAGAGAGAGAGAGAGAGAGAGAGAGAGAGAGAGAGAGAGAGAGAGAGAGAGAGAGAGAGAGAGAGAGAGAGAGAGAAAATAACAGCACGAAGAGCTAGCTATACAAAATGGAGACGTATGGATAAACCACTTCTCCAACCTCTTTGGCCAAATAACAAAGAACCTAGAGCAAAAACATATACATGATAATTTACACAACTTAGAATCAGTTATTAAAGACTACCAGAAGCATACTACTACCATAGTCTCTCAGAGCGTCCACAGTCAGCCCACTGGCACCACTATCAGACCACAGCAAAATCACAGCCTACTTCAACAGAGCAATACTCAACCATGAGGCATCAAAGCCCAACAAACTGTATGCTACAGTGAGGGAAAAAAGTATTTGATCCCCAGCTGATTTTGTACGTTTGCCCACTGACAAAGAAAGGATCAGTCTATCATTTTAAATGGTAGGTTTATTTGAACAGTGAGAGACAGAATAACAACAAAAAAATCCAGAAAAACGCATGTCAAAAATGTTATAAATTGATTTGCATTTTAATGAGGGAAATAAGTATTTAACCCCTCTGCAAAACATGACTTAGTACTTGGTGGCAAAACCCTTGTTGGCAATCACAGAGGTCAGACGTTTCTTGTAGTTGGCCACCAGGTTTGCACACATCTCAGGAGGGATTTTGTCCCACTCCTCTTTGCAGATCTTCTCCAAATCATTAAGGTTTTGAGGCTGACGTTTGGCAACTCGAACCTTCAGCTCCCTCCACAGATTTTCTATGGGATTAAGGTCTGGAGACTGGCTAGGCAACTCCAGGACCTTAATGTGCTTCTTCTTGAGCCACTCCTTTGTTGCCTTGGCCGTGTGTTTTGGGTCATTGTCATGCTGGAATACCCATCCACGACCCATTTTCAATGCCCTGGCTGAGGGAAGGAGGTTCTCACCCAAGATTTCATGGTACATGGCCCCGTCCAGCGTCCCATTGATGCGGTGAAGTTGTCCTGTCCCATCAGCAGAAAAACACCCCCAAAGCATAATGTTTCCACCTCCATGTTTGACGGTGGGGATGGTGTTCTTGGGCTCATAGGCAGCATTCCTCCTCCTCCAAACACGGCGAGTTGAGTTGATGCCAAAGAGCTCGATTTTGGTCTCATCTGACCACAACACTTTCGCACAGTTCTCCTCTGAATCATTCCGATGTTCATTGGCAAACTTCAGACGGGCAAAAAAAATGAAAAATTTAAAAAATAATTATATAAAATTAAAAAAGACAATATTAAAAAAAATATATTCACTAACTGTAAGTCGCTCTGGATAAGAGCGTCTGCTAAATGACTAAAATGTAAATATGTGCTTTCTTGAGCAGGGGGACCTTGCGGGCGCTGCAGGATTTCAGTCCTTCACGGCGTAGTATGTTACCAATTGTTTTCTTGGTGACTATGGTCCCAGCTGCCTTGAGATCATTGACAAGATCCAACCGTGTAGTTCTGGGCTGATTCCTCACCGTTCTCATGATCCTTGCAACTCCACGAGGTGAGATCTTGCATGGAGCCCCAGGCCGAGGGAGATTGACAGTCTTGTGTTTCTTCCATTTGCGAATAATCGCACCAACTGTTGTCACCTTCTCACCAAGCTGCTTGGCGATGGTCTTGTAGCCCATTCCAGCCTTGTGTAGGTCTACAATCTTGTCCCTGACATCCTGGGAGAGCTCTTTGGTCTTGGCCATGGTGGAGGGTTTGGAATCTGATTGATTGATTGATTCTGTGGACAGGTATCTTTTATACAGGTAACAAGCTGAGATTAGGAGCACTCCCTTTAAGAGTGTGCTCCTAATCTCAGCTCGTTACCTGTATAAAAGACACCTGGGAGCCAGAAATCTTTCTGATTGAGAGGGGGTCAAATACTTATTTCCCTCATTAAAATGCAAATCAATTTATAACATTTTTGACATGCGTTTTTCCGGATGTTTTTGTTGTTATTCTGTCTCTCACTGTTCAAATAAACCTACCATTAAAATTATAGACTGATAATTTCTTTGTCAGTGGGCAAACGTACAAAATCAGCAGGGGATCAAATACTTTTTTCCCTCACTGTATTAAGAAATGCTATAGATGGAATAAAGATAGTGTAGAAATCTACCAAAGAAGTCCAAAAACAAATCCAATCCCTCCTAGACAACTTCCTGGACAAAATATTTCCCTGCAATAGTGAAGGTGTAAACTTCGTAGTAGAAATCCTGAACAGTATATTTGATATACTGTATCAGCTAACATATCACATTTAAACAACTCAAGCAGAAAACCTAACAGCAATGAGAAATGGTTTGATGAAGAGTGCAAACACTTATGAATTATTTGGGGAGAAACCAAATACACAGAGACCCAGAAAACAAAAAAAACATACTATAGGGAAACACTAAAACAGTACAGAAATACTAAGAAAAAAGAAGGAACAGCATATCAGAAAAAAAACTGCTCAATGTGATTGAAGTCACTTCTGGGAAAATTTGAAAACACTGAACAAACAACAACACGAGGAGCTAGCTATCCAAAACCACCTTTCCAACCGTTTTGGCCATATAATAAAGAACCAAGAGCAAAAACATATACATGACAATTTACAAATCTTAGAATCAGCTATTAAAGACTACCAGAACCCACTGGATTCTCCAATTACATTGAATGACAAAATACAAACCCTCCAACCCAAAAAGGCCTGTGGTGTTGATGGTATCCTAAATGAAATGAAAAAAATATACAGACCACAAATTCAAGTTGGCTATACTCAAACTTCAATATTATCCTCAGCTCTGGCATCTTTCCCAATATTTGGAACCAAGGTCTGATCACCCCAATCCAGAAAAGTGGAGACAAATTTGACACCAATAATTACCACAGGATCTGTTTCAACAGTAACCTTGGCAAAATCCTCTGCAGTATCATCAACAGCAGACTCCAACATTCCCTCAGTGAAAACATTGTCCTCAGCAGATGTCTTCTTAGCCAAAATACCGTATGACAGACCACATATTCACTCTGCAGACACTTATTGACAAACAAACCAAAACCAAAGCAAAGTCTTCTCATCCTTTGTTGATTTCAAAAAAGCTTTTGACTCAATTTGGCTTGAGGGCCTGCTGTATAAACTGATGGAAATCGGTGTTGGGGGGAAAACCTACGATATTATAAAATCTAAACAAACAATAAGTGTGCAGTCAAAATTGGCAATAAACACACACATTTCTTCCCTCAGGGCCGTGGGGTGTGACAGAGCCCCACCCTCTCCGGCGCTCGCCGTCGCTGGTCTACTAACCACAGGTCCTGGCAACCCATCTTTACGCACATCATCAGTCACACCTGGACTTCATTACTCCCTCATTACTTACCCTTTATATAGTACTCTTTACTTATCAGTTATCAGGCTGTATTGGTTATGTTTCCTTGTCAGACGTTGCTCGATTTGTATCGTTCTATATTCGTTAATATTAAACTCACTAACTGCACATTTACATTTTAGTCATTTAGCAGACGCTCTTATCCAGAGTGACTTACAGTTAGTGAGTGCATAAATTTTTTCATACTGGCCCGTGTGGTAAACGAACCCACAACCCTGGCGTTGCAAGCGCCATGCTCTACCAACTGAGCTACACGGGGCCACCTGCTTCCTGACTCCATGCGTCGACGTTACAACCACAGGTAACTTCCACATGGCTATGAACAATCTGAGACAAGACAAGGGCCTTCTACGCCATCAAAAGGAACATAACATTTGTCTAAAAAAAACACTCCAATCGGTTATAGAACCCATTGCCCTCTATGGTTGTGAAGTCTGGGGTATACTCACCAACCAATAATTCACTAAATGGGACAAACACACCTATTGAGACTTTGCATATATAGAATTCTGAACACATATCCTCAGAGTACAATGCAAAATTCAAAATAATGCATGCAGAGCAGAATTAGGACTATACCCACTAATGATAAAAATCCAGAAAAGACCGTTAAATTCCACAACCACCTTAAGGAAAGCGATGCCCAAACCTTCCATCACAAAGCCTTGACCTGCAAGGAGATTAACCGAGAGAAGAGTCCCTGCAGCCAGCTGGTCCTGGGGCTCTGTTTACAAATACAAATAGATGCCACAGAGCCCCAGGACAGCAACACAATTAGACCCAACCAAGTTATGAGAAAACAAAAAGAGAACTACTTAATACATTTTTAGTGTCGAGTCAATGCTTCTAATTATTGCTGTGAAACAAAGAGTCCGCTTATACTGTACTTTGATTATAAGTTTTATTTATATCACAAGATTTCAGCATAAGTTTACAGACACCTGCAGTGTCTGGAGAACAGTGTCCCAAAATAATATGTCTGTTCTAACGTTCTTTGTCTCTAGCCTATACTTATAAGATATACAAAAATATGGGTGGCTCCCTCTACTGTCCAATCACCTGTCTCCGACGAACAGGGGTGTCACTACAAAATGGCTCCCTCTGAAACTGAATAAACATCCTCTCAGGTTCCACTTTAAAACATTAGCAAAGTCATAATTCTTCATTTACTATATTCCCCCCTTCGAGACTAACTAAAAGTCTCGAAAACAAAAAGAATAGGATTATGACAAGTAACAATTTATCTTATTGAGTATCTTTAACAATAAACCAAAAACACATTTTCTATGGAGTGTAAATACATTTCTATGAAATATGAACAAATCTTTATGGAGTGTGAGAGCGAAAAACCTGTCTGGCAGCCTTCTTTCCAAATATCCATCCATCAATCAATCAAGACAGTAAAATTCTCTCACGGCCCCTCTGCCCCAGGCAACCACCTAAGTACTCCAGATCAACTCATAAATCTTTATCAATGCATTTGAAACTATGATGCAATTAAATACACATGAAAGCCCCAGCAAACAAAATACTATCCAAAATGTCCACTCTCAGGCTGGTCGACCCATCGGACCCTACGGTGGATTATCTCTATCCCTGCCTAGACTCCATGTCCCTAAGCATTCACGAAATAAACAAAAACATCTAAGATCCCCACATGTATCCAATAACATCAAATATCATTCTACAAAAATTAATACAGAAAGAATATGACACAAATTATGTATTACACATGCAGATATGTCTATATATCATTGCAGACACTGGAATGTAGTCCACTACACTTCATCTCCTCAGCAGTGTCGACTTCCAATGCATCGTTGATGATGGAATCGGAACATTTCCACACCTTCCTTGTTCCATCTCCTCCAGTCCCTTCATATTGTCCTTTCATATTGTCCTTGTTTGAGCATTTGAATCTCTACATATTCCCCCATATGCTTCTGGAAGAAAAGAAAAGACCAAACAGTATTTTTTGCAAAACAACACATTCAAATTAAAACATCAATATCAACTAAGAATATAAAAATGATATAGAAAATGATATATAAATGAATCACATTGTATTTCCCCCCTTTGATTCATAACAAAATACTAAAATCACACTAATATTGAAAAACATTTGAAAAATGATAAGATAATCAAAATGGATATTTATCCATCAATACTCCATCCAGTCCCACTTGTCCATCTTCATCCAGATCAGTAACAGTCAACAACGGTATCTGAGTGTTGTCTCCAGGCATCACAACTCCAACCCATCTCAATATCATAGCCTTCGCAAAGGTCAGTAACAAAGTACAAAAGCAAAACATCACACACAGCGCTATCAGAGCTGCTACTAAAATCTGAACTATCACTGCTCCCACTGGCCCTAACTGATCTTGCAACCAAACCTTCGCTGACCATCCAGCTCCTTCAGATCTACCAAACGCATCCCTTATATTCTTCAATGCATCTATAACACTAGTGATATTATCGGAACTATCTGGGATCAAAGTATAACAATCATCCCCCGTCAGATTCATAGCCAAACATAAGCCACCCTGTTTTGCTAAAATATAGTCAAGAGCCATGTCATGTTTCAACAGTGTCAGTCTGTGACTTCTTTGAGTATTTGACAGAAGGTTAAACCCTCTTATTGTTTCATTTGCAAACCCCTGCAAAGTATAGGTAATATTATCAATATGATCTGCCAAAAATGTTACACCATACCATGGAAAAAGTCCCAGTCCCCACTTCTCTCCTAGACTTATCCTCCAATGGTAGGCTTCAAGACTATGAAATGTCGTCATGTCCCTTTTCACCCTATTTCCAAACCTAGATTCAGATTTATCTGTGTCCGGTGCTACCCCACTTTTAATGGTAAAAACCTCATATGGAAGCTTCAACGTTGACATGTAACAACATCCTGTCCATCCATAGGGTAAGAATATATATGCTTTATCACCACAAACCCACCAAATATCTCTAAAATTCCCAATAGTCACATTGCCAGGCAAAATCTGATCTTCCACCATCAAAGTCCTGCTGTTCTTACTAACGGGAACATAAAAAGTAACATTATATTTCTCATCTCTAACCTTATGTTCATGCTTACCCAAAGTCATCATATAATCATCACAATCTGATATTCCCATGAACATACCCTTTCCATCATATGTTTTATTAGAACAAAAACAACTTTTAGCCCTCACTGGTTTCACCTCCAATGCTTCAGGATTCGCTGTTAACTGATTTTCCTTCCCATCTAACAAATTCACATAGGGTAATTCATTTAACCAAGAACACTTAAACCTAGGCTTAAACAAATGTTTTGACAACGACATTATTTTATCTGTTAATGATTGTTGCTGATACAACAGCCATGATAAAGCATAAGATTGACACGTACTTGATAGAGGTTGAGCGATCGTCTCTAAAATGGAACCCCATGTGCCTGGTGCTGGAATTCTCAACAGACATGGACCCTCAAGATTCCTCACTGATCTTACAGAATGAGTTAACTGTTGGAACCAAAGATTCCTACCTGCCCATTCATCTTTAATCTTCAAAACAGAAGAATCAAATCCATATGCCTTCCATTTAGTTTCTCTCTTCCCTAACGAGCGGTATTGATCAGATGTATCTTCCTATGTTCCGTTGAAATCAAAGAACTCATCCTGTACCTCCATGATAGTATCTTGCACTATTTCAGATGAATCTATATTCTTCTCTACCACCATCTGCTCTCCTATTTTAACCCTATCCTTACTACCATTGACAGCACTCTCCATCCGTATCATAAACTCCTGAGTCACTCTTGCTACATCCTTTAATTTCAGAAAAGTTGTTGTTGGTGTCTGTGTCATACTTCCTACATTTGTTATTGCCGTCGTACCATTAATCCCTTTCAAAGTCACCATTAAAGTAGTTGATTTAGTTGATGTATTAACACCCTTAACTATTTCTAGTGGGAAAGCTACCGATATCCTCTGTGTATTATTTACTGTTGGAGTGGCTACTGTAATATACTTCTCCTGAACTCCTTTGGTGACTGTGGAAGCTTCAACAGACTTCAACTCTTCCATTATAAGCGTCACTTTACGAATTACATAGCCTTTTAACCAATAATTCTTAACCGGAACAAATTTTAATGCTTGCACTAGATAAGTACACATATATTCTCCCTGATCTTTCCCTGTAACATTACGCAAAATAAGTGAACAATCACTCATAACCCTCTTCCACTTCATATCGTTGTACAAAATATACTTCCATTGATTAGGGGGCACAGCTTCTACATCTGGTCCTGATAACAATACTTCTTCTCCATAATTATCTCTCCATGTGGGAGGAACGTCCCCTCCCCCACTCCATCTCTCACAGCTACAAGGAAGATGAGCTGTATCACCCATCCTAACCCTAATAACAGTCTTTTCCTCTAAAATTGGTGCTGGAGCTATTGGTTCCCTTGTAATCAAATGCGATATATTTATGGCTTTAATAACTATCAATGTTGAAAGAGTTGAATTGCTTCTCACTGTTGTTTTAATATGCTGAAGTGTTGATGTCATTGTTGTTACTTCATCCATACTCCCTAAAGCTTTGAACTCTTGACTTGTATTTCCATCTATCACCACTAGTGTCACTACATTAACTCTCAGTCCTAACTCTAATCCCTCACTTTCAACCTGTTGATTATAAAAAATACATTTATAATCACCTTGATCTTCCTGCTGGGAATTGTAAATATAGATACCGCAATCACCCTCAATCTTCATTCTTCTCTCATCATTCAGCAACGCATACTTTCTCAATGCAATTGCTTCTAACAGATCTAAACTCCTGCCATATCTATCTTCCCACTGAACTCTAAATTTCCCTTCACCACTGTTCTCTCTCGTGCACTTACATGGGAGCTGAGCTGACTGTCCTAGAGTTACTTCAACCCTAGTTTTCGTAACGTTTTGGTCTGACTTTTCTCCTAACTGGTCTAGGCCTACTTTGTCTAACTGAATCACTAGCTTCTCCTGTAACAGAGTTGCCCTTGGTGATCTCTGCTGCTTCACATTCCACTGAAATATTCCCTGTTGCTTCTGGGACGTATTGAAAATCAATTTCCCCAAATACCCTTTCCTTTCCATCCATTGCATAGTCATCTCTGGCATCATCAGAAGTGTAAACATTATCATCAACGTTATCCACAACATTGATAATCTCTCCTTCTTCCTGTTCTCCCCTATCTCCATCCTCTCTCTCTCATATGACAGAAGAACAAAGGACAGACAAGCATTTAATAGTTTATACACTCACTGAGTTATTTCAAGCATTCAATATTCCTCTGTTCAAAACTTGCGCTAAGAAATAAGCAAACAACTTAACTCAGGAATATTTATCGATAGCTCTAACATTTTATTTCATTTATTTAATTATTTTTATTTTATTTTTTTAATCCGTCAACATATCTCTCTCATTTATCAATTCAATAGATCTCAACAAATAGCTTCATCATTAAGCAACAGACTATGTAACAACTAGAACATTCCATTCGTGTTCACATCTCTCTCTGTCTGCTTCTGAGTCTGCGTCTCCCAGCACCCAGTGTAGGCAGTGGCACATTCTCCCTACGTAACTCTAAAGTCATAAAATCACACGCATGTGCAGTTCATTCACCAATACGATTTCAGCGTGGACGGAGCCCTCAAGCAGCTCTCTCCCCAAGCCAAACAGAAAGTTAACAGTCCCGCTGTAACTCCGTTTTCTCCTCATAGCCAAACAACATTTAACAGAGCTCACAAAGCCTAGAACTTAAATTCTACACACACAAACATAATTTAAGAGGCTTTATTCCATCTCGATGGCCCTCTAAGGTCACATGTTAGCATGTAGCATGTATGTAACATGTGGCATGTAACATGTAGCAATGTAACCTACATTGCGCCAAAATTCCTGTTCCTTCGTCCCTAACTTTATGCTGCCGCGAGTTATGGATATTCTATGAGCGGTCACATCAAACATATACCTCGTCAGCTATAAGATGAGCAGTAACTTGCAATAAAATGTATATACCACAGTCTCCAGTCCCCAGGACTCACCCATTCCATCTAACATGTTACAGGATTTCCGGCCCATCCTAAAGATCACCTTGTTTAGAGGTCTTTCCAGATTCGCAATGTCCTAATTTGTATACATATACCTTGGCCTTATTCCCTTCAAATCGATTGTTCTTGAATTCCTATTCAAGCAAAATATCTCTATAGACACTCCCCCCTATTTGCGCCGTTTACCAGTGCAAACAAATGTAGAATAGTTATGACAGACCCCTAGTCAACAGCAATAACAGCCACACCAGCACACACAAGTACTTTACACGGTACATCTCCCCAGCGCACACACCCATAAGCCAGCGAACCAACTAGCGCACAAAATTTGTGAGGAATCTCACCTTATGAGCCGGCTTGAGCGGGAGTCACCTCGCTGCTCATGAATGCAACACAGGAAAGATGCAGACCGATCCCATCCTCGTTGCCAATTGTAGTGTCGAGTCAATGCTGCTAATTATTGCTGTGAAACAAAGAGTCTGCTTATACTGTACTTTGATTATAAGTTTTATTTATATCACAAGATTTCAGCATAAGTTTACAGACGCCTGCAGTGTCTGGAGAACAGTGTCCCAAAATAATATGTCTGTTCTAACGTTCTTTGTCTCTAGCCTATACTTATAAGATATACAAAAATATGGGTGGCTCCCTCTGTCCAATCACCTGTCTCCAACGAACAGGGGTGTCACTACAAAATGGCTCCCTCTGAAACTGAATAAACATCCTCTCAGGTTCCACTTTAAAACATTAGCAAAGTCATAATTCTTCATATACTATACATTGGAAAGAATCAACCAAAAAACAGAGCAGGTTGGAACGCTACCTTGCCCTAAACAGAGAGTACACAGTGCAGAATATCTGACCACCGTGACTGACCCAAAACGAAGAAAAGCCTGGACTATGTACAGACTCAGTGAGCATAGCCTTGTTATTGAGAGGTCACCATAGGCAGACCTGGCTCTCAAGAGAAGACAGGATATGTGGCCACTGCCAACAAAATGAGGTGGAAACCGAGCTTCACTTTCTAAACTCCTGCCAAATGTACGACCATATAAGGGACACATATTTCCCTCAAATTACACAAACCCAAAGAATTCGAACACAAATCACATTTTGACAAACTCCCGTATCTGTTAGGAGAAATACCGCAGTGTGCAATCCCAGCCACAAAATGTGTGACCTGCTGCCACAAGAAAAGGTCAACCAGTGGGTCAGAAACACCAATGTAAATATACCCTATATTTATCTGCCTATTTATTTCCCCCTGTTATTCGTACATTCTACTATTTGCACATTGTCACAACACTTATGTAACATTTATCCTCTAATAATATAACATTTAAAATGTTGTGAAACTTTTTGTGTGTGTAATGTTTACTGTTAATGTCTGGTTGTTTTTGTCTTTTAAAATGTGTTTTGTTGTTTTGGTTCTTTCACTGGCTTTGGCAATGTAAACACGTTTCCCATGCCAGTAAAGTCATTGAATTGAAGAGAGAGAGAGAGAGAGAGAGAGAGATATATCAGGTATGTCAGACCCATGGACAGTAGTGGAGGGTAAATGCACTTAAATGCCATTTACACACCTTTTGCGGGTAAACACATTGAACTTATAGGGAGCATTAGGTTATTCACCACAGACTGAGATCAGCATTTACCTTGACATCAATGCCCGTGAGACAGGCTTGGTGGTACAATGCAAGTAATTAAACAGAGACAGAAAGAGGGAGAGATATTGAATAAAGATGGAAAAGACAGAGTTGCATTAAGAAAGCTCTTTGCTGCTTTAGTTCAAAAACCTCTGTCATCTTATTGCCCTCTCTTTCTCTCTCCTCTGATGAATATCTTTTCATCCAGTCTCTGTTCTTGTCATTAGATGCACAAGCACACTCGTACACACACACCTTCACAGAAACATTTTCCACCAGAATAGAGGAGCTTTGCAGCTCCTTCGGGGTTATCTTTGGTCTCTTTGTTGCCTCTTTGAATAATGGCCTCCTTGCCTGGTCTGTGAGTTTTGGTGGGCAGCCCTCTCTTGGCAGGTTTGTTGTGGTGTCATATTCTTTCCATTTTGTAGTAATGGATTGAATGGTGCTCCGTGGGATGTTCAAAGTTTCTGATATTTTTTTATAACCCAACCCTCATCTGTACTTCTACACAACTTTGTCCCTGACCTGTTTGGATAGCTCCTTGGTCTTCATGGTGCTGCTTGCGTGGTGGTGCTGCTTGCGTGGTGGTGCTGCTTGCTTAGTGGTGGTGCCCCTTGCTTAGTGGTGTTGCAGACTCTGGGGCCTTGAAGAAAAGGTGTATATATACTGAGATCATGTGACAGATCATGTGACACTTAGATTGCACACAGGTGGACTTTATTTAACTAATTATGTGACTTCTGAAGGTAATTGGTTGCACCAGATCTTATTTAGGGGCATCATAGCAAAGGGGGTGAATACATATGCACGCACCACTTTTCTGTTATTTATTTTTTAGAATTTTTTTAATAAGTTATTTTTTTCATTTCACTTCACCAATTTGGACTATTTTGTGTATGTCCATTACATGGAATCCAAATAAAAATCCATTTAAATTACAGGTTGTAATGCAACAAAATAGGAAAAACGCCAAGGGGGATGAATACATTTGCCCTGTATGCTCCACTCGGCTGTGCCTCACAAGTAATACAAAAACAACTGATCTAATACCGGTGTGATCATATAACCTACCTCAAATTTTGAAATATAATTGGTCCAAACAACAATGCATTGGCAGAGTTTTCAAGCAAAGCCAATATGCGGTAATAATGTATTGGGCCTATAGCTTACTGCACAAACCTCATTGCTACAGTACTGTTTTTAATGGCTTAATGTTGCATAGGATGATTAAATTTTTTAAGTAATGTTCAAAACAAATCTGAGCGGTCAATCACGGCTTACATTTTGACTCAGAAGTGATCTTGACTCAGAAAAGGTTGTGTACATAATCAAAAGACTCATTGTGATTGGATTGTGATCAGATCTTCCTGCCCACCTCCGGAGGCAGTCAGGCACGCATTGTGTCTGGATATTTCACAAGTGTAGACGGATCCGGACAGTGAAACCATTTAAATCATTGACAGGTGGTAACATTGACTTATGACAAATATGTTGCATAAAATAAATCAATGAATATTATTTAGAAAAAGATTCTGTCAAATCATTTACATACAGGGAGGGACCAGGAAATCTGGTCACAATGTGGACACAGTGGACATGAGTGCGTGCGTCACCGTGTGTGTGTGTTTTGCAGAAGCAAACAGCAGCTCCATGTCTTGCCCAAGCTGCACAGGAAACTGGAACAGGGCTAAAGCAGAAAGTGCTACAGTATGAGGGAGGGAGAAAGTGGGGGAGGAGGTAGAGAGACAGAGAGACGAGAGAGAAATCAAGAGGGACAGAGAGGGAGAGAGGAGATGTAGGGACTCAGAGAGAGATAGAGAAGATATAGGGACTCAGAGAGAGATAGAGAAGATACAGGCACTCATAGAGAGATAGAGAAGATATAGGGACTCAGAGAGAGATAGAGAGATATAGGCACTCATAGAGAGATAGAGAGATATAGGCACTCATAGAGAGATAGAGAAGATATAGGGACTCAGAGAGAGATAGAGAGATATAGGCACTCATAGAGAGATAGAGAAGATATAGGGACTCAGAGAGAGATAGAGAGATATAGGCACTCATAGAGAGATAGAGAGATATAGGCACTCATAGAGAGATATAGAGAAGATATAGGCACTCAGAGAGAGATAGAGAGATATAGACACTCAGAGAGAGATAGAGAAGATATAGGGACTCAGAGAGAGATAGAGAGATATAGGCACTCATAGAGAGATAGAGAGATATAGGCACTCAGAGAGAGATAGAGAAGATATAGGGACTCAGAGAGAGATAGAGAACGTGAGCAAAAGAGACAGTAAGCAAGAGAGAATAGACAGAGGGCAGAGAGAGGGAGAGAGAGGAAGGAATGTCAGAGAGGAGAAATGGATGACTCATGTTACAGTTTTTGTCATTTCTTCTTCTCCCCCCCCCCCCCCCTCCCTCCCTCCCTCTCTTTACAACACTGAGCCAGACATAAACCCATCATACACAGTAACACAACAACATTCTGCCTGACTAAAGCCTAGCTACATTCCCTCACCAGGCACTCTTTGTTTCCACACACACAAACTCACAACAATTAGTCCACAAAAGAAGGGTGTGCAATCAGAGGTTTTAGACCATTCCCCCTGCTGCTCTGTTTCTTTCTGCTGGCTTACCAACCTCCTTCATAGCAGCCCCCCTACCATGCAGATCAACCTGGTCTCAAAGACTAGACGTAACATAGTAAAAGTTAATCCGGGACACTCTAATTAGCTTGAATGTTATGTTTGGTATGGTTACATAAGACAGATGGTTACAAAAGTAGGGTGGTTGGTTGGGGTGGATGGGTTGGCGTATAATGCAAACGTCTAGCAACCCAAAGGTTTAACCCTAACACCTACACTACCGTTCAAAAGTTTGGGGTCACTTAGACATTTCCTTGTTTTCCAAGAAAATATACATTAAATGAGTTTGAAAAGGAAATATAGCAGAATGGATAGGAAATGTAGTCATTGAAAAGGTTAGAAATAATGATTTTTAATATAAATAATAATTGTGTCCTTCAAACTTTGCTTTCGTCAAAGAATCCTCCATTTGCAGCAATTACAGCCTTGCAGATCTTTGGCATTCTAGTTGTCAATTTGTTGAGGTAATCTGAAGAGATTTCACCACATGCTTCCTGAAGCACCTCCCACAAGTTGGATTGGCTTGATGGGCACTTCTTATGTACCATACGGTCAAGCTGCTCCCACAACAGCTCAATAGGGTTGAGATCCAGTGACTGTGCTAGGCACTCCACTGTAGACAGAATACCAGCTGACTGCTTCTTCCCTAAATAGTCATTGCATAGTTTGGAGCTGTGCTTTGGGTCATTGTCCTGTTGTAGGAGGAAATTGGCTCCAAACAAGCACCGTCCACAGGGTATGGCATGGCGTTGCAAAATGGAGTGATCAAAGCCTTCCTTCTTCAAGATCCCTTTTACCCTGTACAAATCTGCCACTTTACCTCCACCAAAGCACCCCCAGACCATCACATTGCCTCCACCATGCTTGACAGATGGCATCAAGCACTCCTCCAGCATCTTTTAATTTGGTCTGTGTCTGACAAATGTTCTTCTTTGTGATCCGAACCCCTCAAACTTCGATTTGACTGTCCATAATACTTTTTTCCAATCTTCCTCTGTCCAGTGTCTGTGTTCTTTTAACCATCTTAATCTTTTCTTTTTATTGGCCAGTCTGAGATATGGCTTTTTCTTTGCAACTCTGCCTAGAAGGTCAGCAACCCGGAGTCGCCTCTTCACTGTTGATGTTGAGACTGGTGTTTTGCGGGTACTATTTAATGAAGATGCCAGTTGAGGACCTGTGAGGCATCTGTTTCTCAAACTAGACACTCTAATGTATTTGTCCTCTTGCTCAGTTGTGCATCGGGGCCTCCCACTCCTCTTTCTATTCTGGTTAGAGCCAGTTTGCGTTGTTCTGTGAAGGGAGTAGTACACAGCGTTGTACGAGATCTTCAGCTTCTTGGCAAATTCTCGCATGGAATAGCCTTCATTTCTCAGAACAATAATAGACTGATGAGTTTCAGAAGAAAGTTATTTGTTTCTGTCCATTTTGATTCTGTAATCGAACCCATAATTGCTGATGCTCCAGATACTCAACTAGTCTCAAGAAGGCCAGTTTTAATGCTTCTTTAATCAGCACAACAGTTTTCAGCTGTGCTAACAAAATTGCAAAAGGGTTTTCTAATGATCATTTAGCCTTTTAAAATGATCAGCTTGGATTAGCAAACACAACGTGCCATTGGAACACAGGACTGATGGTTGCTGATAATGGGCCTCTGTACGCCTATGTAGATATTCCATTAAAAATCAGCCGTTTCCAGCTATAATAGCCATTTACAACATGAACAATGTCTACACTGTATTTCTGATCAATTTGATGTTATTTTAATGGACAAGGACATTTGTGACCCCAAACTTTTGAATGATAGTGTAACTCTAATCCCTAGCCAAGCTAACGTTAGCCACCTAGAGACCTAGCTAGAATTCATAACATACCATACGTTTTGCAAATTTGAAACATATTGTACATTTTTGCAAATTCGTAATACAGTTGAAGTCGGAAGTTTACATACACCTTAGCCAAATACATTTAAACTCTGTTTTTCACAATTCCTGACATTTAATCCTAGTAAAATATCCCTGTTTTAGGTCAGTTAGGATCACCACTTTATTTTAAGAATGTGATATGTCAGAATAATAGTAGAGAAAATTATTTATTTCAGCTGTTATTTCTTTCATCACATTCCCAGTGGGTCAGAAGTTTACATACACTCAATTAGTATTTGGTAGCATTGCCTTTAAATTGTTTAACTTGGGTCAAATGTTTCGGGTAGTGTTCCACAAGCTTCCCACAATAAGTTGGGTGAATTTTGGCCCATTCCTCCTGACAGAGCTTGTGTAACTGAGTCAGGTTTGTAGGACTCCTTTGCTCGCACATGCTTTTTCAGTTCTGCCCACAAATACTTTTCTATAGAATTGAGGTCAGGGCTTTGTGATGGCCACTCCAATACCTTGACTTTGTTGTCCTTAAGCCATTTTGCCACAACTTTGGAAGTATGCTTGGGGTCATTGTCCATTTGGAAGACCCATTTGCGACCAAGCTTTAACTTCCTGACTGATGTCTTAAGATGTTGCTTCAATATATCCACATAATTTTCCTTCCTCATGATGCCATCTATTTTGTGAAGTGCACCAGTCCCTCCTGCAGCAAAGCACCCCCACAGCATGATGCTGCCACCCCCGTGCTTCACGGTTGGGATGGTGTTCTTCGACTTGCAAGGTACCCCCTTTTTCCTCCAAACATAATGATGGTCATTATGGCCAAACAGTTCTATTTTTGTTTCATCAGACCAGAGGACATTACTCCAAAAAGTACGATCTTTATCCCCATGTGCAGTTGCAAACCATAGTCTGTCTTTTTTATGGCGGTTTTGCAGCAGTGGCTTCTTTCTTGCTGAGCGGCCTTTCAGGTTATGTCGATATAGGACTCGTTTTACTGTGGATATAGATACCTTTGTACCTGTTTCCTCCAGCATCTTCACAAGGTCCTTTGCTGTTGTTCAGGGATTGATTTGCACTTTTCGCACCAAAGTACGTTAATCCCTAGGAGACAGAACGCGTCTCCTTCTTGAACGGTATGACGGCTGCGTGGTCCCATGGTGTTTATACTTGCATACTATTGTTTGTACAGATGAACGTGGTACCTTCAGGCGTTTGGAAATTGCTCCCAAGGATGAACCAGACTTGTGGAGGTCTACAATTGTTTTTCTGAGGTCTTGGCTGATTTATTTTGATTTTCCTATGATGTCAAGCAAAGAGGCACTGAGTTTGAAGGTAGGCCTTGAAATACATCCACAGGTACACCTCCAATTGACTCAAATGATGTCAATTAGCCTATCAGAAGCTTCTAAAGCCCTGACATCATTTTCTGGAATTTTCCAAGCTGTTTAAAGGCACAGTCATCTTAGTGTACAGTGAGGGAAAAAAGTATTTGATCCCCTGCTGATTTTTTACGTTTGCCCACTGACAAAGAAATGATCAGTCTATAATTTTAATGGTAGGTTTATTTGAACAGTGAGAGACAGAATAACAACAAAAAAATCCAGAAAAACCCATGTCAAAAGTGTTATAAATTGATTTGCATTTTATTGAGGGAAATAAGTATTTGACCCCTCTGCAAAACATGACTTAGTACTTGGTGGCAAAACCCTTGTTGGCAATCACAGAGGTCAGACGTTTCTTGTAGTTGGACACCAGGTTTGCACACATCTCAGGAGGGATTTTGTCCCACTCCTCTTTGCAGATCTTCTCCAAGTCATTAAGGTTTCGAGGCTGACGTTTGGCAACTCGAACCTTCAGCTCCCTCCACAGATTTTCTATGGGATTAAGGTCTGGAGACTGGCTAGGCCACTCCAGGTCCTTAATGTGCCTCTTCTTGAGCCACTCCTTTGTTGCCTTGGCCGTGTGTTTTGGGTCATTGTCATGCTGGAATACCCATCTACGACCCATTTTCAATGCCCTGGCTGAGGGAAGGAGGTTCTCACCCAAGATTTGACGGTACATGGCCCCGTCCATCGTCCCTTTGATGCGGTGAAGTTGTCCTGTCCCCTTAGCAGAAAAACACCCCCAAAGCATAATGTTTCCACCTCCATGTTTGACGGTGGGGATGGTGTTCTTGGGGTCATATGCAGCATTCCTCCACCTCCAAACACGGCGAGTTGAGTTGATGCCAAAGAGCTCAATTTTGGTCTCATCTGACCACAACACTTTCACCCAGTTCTCCTCTGAATCATTCATATGTTCATTGGCAAACTTCAGACAGGCAGGTATATGTGCTTTCTTGAGCAGGGGGACCTTGCGGGCGCTGCAGGATTTCAGTCCTTCACGGCGTAGTGTGTTACCAATTGTTTTCTTGGTGACTATGGTCCCAGCTGCCTTGAGATCATTGACAAGATCCTCCCGTGTAGTTCTGGGCTGATTCCTCACCGTTCTCATGATCATTGCAACTCCACAAGGTGAGATCTTGCATGGAGCCCCAGGCCGAGGGAAATTGACAGTTCTTTTGTGTTTCTTCCATTTGCGAATAATCGCACCAACTGTTGTCACCTTCTCACCAAGCTGCTTGGCAATAGTCTTGTAGCCCATTCCAGCCTTGTGTAGGTCTACAATCTTGTCCCTGACATCCTTGGAGAGCTCTTTGGTCTTGGCCATGGTGGAGAGTTTGGAATCTGATTGATTGCTTCTGTGGACAGGTGTCTTTTATACAGGTAACAAACTGAGATTAGGAGCACTCCCTTTAAGAGTGTGCTCCTAATCTGTTACCTGTATAAAAGACACCTGGGAGCCAGAAATCTTTCTGATTGAGAGGGGGTCAAATACTTATTTCCCTCTTTAAAATGCAAATCAATTTATAACAGTTTTGACATGGATTTTTTTGTTGTTATTCTGTCTCTCACTGTTCAAATAAACCTACCATTAAAATGATAGACTGGTCATTTCTTTGTCAGTGGGCAAACGTATAAAATCTGCAGGGTATCAAATACTTTTTTCCCTCACTGTATGTAAACTTCTGACCCACTGGAATTGTGATTCAGTGAATTATAAGTTAAATAATCTGTCTGTAAACAATTATTGGAAAAATTACTTGTGTCATGCACAAAGTAGATGTCCTAACCGACTTGCCAAAACTATAGTTTGTTAACAATAAATTTGTGGAGTGGTTGAAAAACGAGTTTTAATGACTCCAACCTAAGTGTATGTAAACTTCCGACTTCAACTGTATATAATACGAATTGTAATTCGTAACATATCATACAAAACGGGTGACGGACATCCACAAATTAATACATACTATACGTAACGTATCATACTAAATTGAGTGTCTCGGATTTACGTACAAAATAATATGAAATGCTCTGGGACCAGGTTGTGCAGATAGAAGCCTCCAGGAGGTTTTCTACAGCATGTGTGTGGAGTTGTGCTAGTGAGTACACAGGTTTACTACAGATTTGCTCAGTATTCTTCATCACCCTGTAGTTACCTTTGTTATTCCTAAGATAAAAGCATGAGCTCCACTCCAATGGCAATGAGATCCTGAGTTGTGCTAACAAAGCCTGTGAATCTCCAGGCACATATTTCCACCTGAACAAATCCAACTGAGGAAAAAAGATGGCTCTGGATTTGTGCAATAAAAAATATAACTTTGTCTCCTTTTGAGTTCATATTGTAGTGTGAGCAAAGCTTGGTTTGAATTAAACAGAAACACGGAGGTGTGAGCAAGCTAGCATGCACATGCACACACACACACGCGCGCATGCACGCACGCACGCACGCACGCATGCACGATAGATCACCTCCCTGTGATACTACTGTATGTGATACACTGTGTGTTATATAGTAGTACAGCATATCTATGGCACATCTGAAGAATGGAGAAAAGGATTACAGAACAGGAGGATGAGAAGGGGGTTTATGGATGATAAATACATGTAAATGAAAGGAGCTAGGGGGGGGGGTGGTGTTTCATTAAACGCTGCTCCTTTCATCACTTCAAACCTCAACCTGACATTAGATTTGCCTCAAGTCTCCATCCAACCACAACACTCTCGCCTCCAGAAGAACATTAGGAACAGTTGGGAATAACATCTGGGAATTACCTGGGAAGGAGGGGTCACTGAAAGGTAGACATCACAGGTGTGATGTATCAAGGTTTTATCAAAGACATGCAAATAAAATAAAAATGATATCTGTACTAAAATAAATACTGTACCTGCTGTGTGCTTTGATCATCCCACATCAACACAACTAAAACATGTGTGTTTTGTCTGTGGCAGAATGATTCAAGGAATTTCTTTATTGTTTTACAGAGGTCGAATAGGGCCCGTTCCAATAACACTCATTGAGCACTTCACTTCTTTACATTCTTCACTTGAACTACTGATCTATCTAATGGAGCCCTGGTCAAAGGCTGGCCAAAGGCTGGCCAAAGGCTGGTCAAAGGCTGGTCAAAGGTAGGATGAAGGTGGCAGATTTCCAACAAGCTTTATTTCAGTTTTCCGTTCCTCTCAGAAGCTATAGATGTCTCGTAAAGCGTCACAGCAGCACCTGTCTCCACCCCTGCTGTCCACCACCATTGCTCTCTGTCCAACTCAATCAATACTGTGAAGTGTCTTAATCAACACTGTAAAGTGTCTTAATCAACACTGTGAAATTAGACTTCGTCAAAGCCACTCGAGATCAGAGTTTTTACATCAAAAAGTCAGGTTTCTGATGTAAGAGTCTGAATGTATGACAATCAAACTGTTCAAAGAGAATAACTTTGCAAGCTTTCCTGCTTTGACTAGATCTACATTTACATTTTAGTCATTTAGCAGACGCTCTTATCCAGAGCGACTTACAGTTAGTGAGTGCATACATTTTTCATACTAGCCCCCCGTGGGAAACAAACCCACAACCCTGGCGTTGCAAGCGCCATGCTCTACCAACTGAGCTACAGGGGACTTAGATGACAAAGAAAAGCACAAAAAAACATCAATTTGTTTATACAAGATTTATAGCATCAACTGTGTGTGCATGCATGCGTGTCTGCTACTAAATATGTATTGTTTCATCAATGCAATAGTCAGACAATGGTTAAAAGGTGGTGATTTTAAAACTTCCCCAAAGATTTCATTTGACGCAAACTTCATTCCGGTACACCCTCAGATTCTTCTGGGTCTTGGTCGGGGCTGTCGTAACCCAGGTAGCTGGCAATCGGGAAGTGGGCCCAGTAGGTCCTGGCCAGGTCCTGGATCCGGTCGTAACCAGCCTGGGCCGTCAGCTCCTGCAACCAGCCTGTGAAGTCTGATGACCACAGGGCCCAGTTGGGCATTTCACGTTTTTCCCTGCCTGGGGACAAATCAATCAATCAATCAATCAATCAATCAATCAAGTAAGCAAGCAAGCAAATAATAAAACATTATTTATTGGCTCACCATTGCCTTCCTCTGTGGCAGTCTCCGTCTCTTCTGCTCCTGGTTAAGACACAGTGAAGGGAAACGGAAAGAGTCAGACCAAAGTCAAAGTTCAGTACTTCAGGACAGTATCGGTGCATTTACACAGGCAGCCCAATTCTGGTATGTTGACCAATCAGATCCTTTGCCAATAACTGGGCAAAAGATCAGAACTGGGCTGCCTGTGAAAAACACAGCCTATGAGTATACTCAAAGGTGTTCACCTACCTGTGAAACTGAGGAATCCCAGGAGTATGAAGCAGACCAACATTGAGACACACAGACGATGCATGCTGTCAGACAAGGCTAGCCAGAGACAGACAGAGGGACACAGAAACACTATTCAGTCGAACTGGATAGGCAGAGACAGACAGGAGACACAGAAAAACCACATGCAGGCAGATACAGTGGCAAGAAAAAATGCTCAGTGTACTTTGAACAATCAAGGACTAATTTCCTCAAACCACCCAGAGAAAATCAAAAGTGGAAGAAAGGTAAAGGCAGAAATAAATACAAAGGGAAAATACCTGTCTATTGTGCTTTCAATGTTGTTACCAAGCCAACAAGTGCTCGAGGGCTAGATTCAATCTGTAGCGTGGAAGATCCGAGTTGTTGCGTAATTTAAATTGAAAGGTAATTTCCCATTGAGCCGACATATGCAGCATTTACCATGAATGCAGTCTCCGGGAACATTGCCTTCAGGAATGGCCTTTTTCTCTTTATTCAGATTACAACCTCTCACTTTCGGTGATTTGAAAATGAAATCATCTCCAAAATATCTCTATTTATAAAACAAGCCATAGAAAGTTGGTTGCAATTTCAGTTTAATCCACCAGAAAAGACAGAACAAATATTACAACAAATATTATGGTTAAACTCAAATATATGAATTGATTAAAAAAAAACATTATTTTTGGAGAAAAAAACTAACAAACGGTATAATCTTTGTAAATGATACCATAAATAGGACTGGTGGAGTTATGTCACATATGCAGGTAACAAAAATATATGGAAATGTCTGCACTATCCAAAATTACAACCAACCAATTGCAGCATTACCGCAAAAATTAAGAGGCAATTGGAAGGGGGAGAAAGTTGTGATAAATAAAAAAGTATACCAATTTCATTTCAGGACCCAAAAATTTACAGCTGTGACATACAGATTGAAAAATAATTGGGAAGAGATTTTCGATGTACCGATTCCATGGCACATGGTTTATGAACTTATACACAAAACGGCGCCGGATTCAAAACGTACTTTTCCTATTTAAATTATTATACAAAATTCTTGCAACCAATAGAATGTCATATAAAGGGGGGATACAACCATCCCAGTTCTGCAGATTTTGCTGCGAAGAGACAGAATCATTGGATCATTTGTTTTGGTACTGTCCATATGTAGCTTGTTTTTGGTCGCAGGTTCAGGAATGGCTGAAGAATTGCAACATTTACCTGGAGTTAACTCTGCAGATAGCACTGCTGCGTGATCGGAAAAGTCATAGTCAATCAATCAATAATATAATAATACTGTTTATAATAAAAATGTTTTATCTTTAATTTACAATCTGTAGAAACTATGAGAATAGAAAGGTTCAGAACTTTTATGAAACATCACAGCACAGTTGAAAGATATATGGATGGTCTTCCGATAGATGGGAGGGGTTGAGGGTAGCTGAAGGATGGGACTAAAAACAAACAAAAGATAACTAATGTAAAATGTACTGTGTCTGAAAAATGTATATAGTATGTATAAGCTGGAAGTAGAAGCCTAAGTGTTGTTGTCCATTAGTTTACTCCAATTAGGGGAGGCGTGGTAGGGTTAGGGGAAAGGAAAATATATTTCAAAACAATATATATATTTCAAATAACATATATATTTATAAAAATATATATGGGGGATTGGAAATGATGCAGACAATCACATTGATAGAAGCCACAATCTATTTGCAATATTAAAGCTGATCCACCCCCTAAAATAATATTAATACAAACATGCAGTCTCCGCAAACACAGGAACATTGCGTTTACATTTAAATTGCGCTATAGCGTAGATCTTCCACGCTACGGATTTAATCTAGGCCCTAGTCTAGAGTACACTACCTAACCAACCAATGTAGAGAGAAAAGTATTTGTAGAGTACACACGTATTGAAATACTAGAAATATTAAATATCAGGTAGCAAACCTTACCTGATTGAGATCACTGATGCGAGGAGTTCGTCTGTATTCGACCACAGTAAACTACAGCTATCTTCTCCTCTATGATTGTACTGTGGTCTGTCCCCGTTGAACGGTCCCTGTCCTGTGTGTGAGAGCTCTGGGGTTTCTGTCCATCTCCAGGTGAGGAGGAGACCGAAGGAAGGCAGACATATTTGTTTTTCACACTTCCTCTCTGTATGTCTAACCTCCATCACAACATACGTCACTGGATCTCTCTCTCTCACACACACACACATACACACACACACACACACACACAGTGATACAAATCTCCCACCTATGATTCAAACTCTAGGCATAATGCTGACAACACTGAATTTGTAACGTTAGTTATGTAGACTACAGCACCAACAATGTCTGCTGCATCTATAGGATGTCCTTCTGTCTTTGTTTAATGAACACTTTCTTACAATAAATGCTGACCAAACTGCGGTTTACCATCAAGGAAATGTATGGTAAAGAATAAACATTTGGCACTGAGCATCAAATACAGTGTACCTCCTCAGGGTTAAACATCTCTGTTAGGAAAGAACAGGAACGGTGACAGAGGGAGAAAAAAAATTATCAAAATATAGATAGGAGGAAAAGGCAGCAAGGGGGAAATAGAAACAGACATGATAGACAGTAAGAGAGAGAGAGAGAGAGAGAGAGAGAGAGAGAGGAGAGAGAGAGAGAGAGAGAGAGAGAGAGAGAGAGAGAGAGAGAGAGAGAGAGAGAGAGAGAAAGAACTGTGAGAGATCGGTACACAGCCAGTCCAGAACTCTTCACACTTTGTATCCAGACGGGCCCCAGACACCAGCCGGCTGCAGTATTTGAAGATTTAACAGATTTATTGTGGGGAAAGAGAAAGATTCCACAGAGTGGATGAGACACAGAGACCAGACAGACACACAGAGACTGGCACGGGTCATGAGAGAGCATCCTGTCATTTCTCTCTTCCGTCTGTCAGAAGACTGTTTACTCTCATTGGGAGAGGCTAGCACCAGGACGTAAGCCTGAGACTGAGACAGAGCTACTGTTTAGATGTTTAGACCAAGGTTGGTCAAACTTCCCCTGCCAGGGCTGGTGGGTTGCTGCCCTTTGCTCCAGCCAAGCCGTAGCATACCTGGTGTTACTAATCAAGACTTCATTTAAGGCTTTGAGTGCTTGGCTGGTGTTTAAATTGGTGTTTATTAACTCTTTAATGTTTAATTGAACTGTTTATTCGGGCTTTGAGACACATCGCAAGAGGTGTGTGTGTTTGTGAGAAAGTAGATAGAGAAAAAGAGAGAGAGGGACTGTGTACTGTATGTGTGTGTAAAAGATATAGAGAGGGTGTGCAAATGTGTGTGTGTTTATGTAAAAGCTTTTCATCATTGAGAGGTGAGTGGAATCATGTACCGAGACGGAGAAAGCCTTCTATATGAGCAGTGTTCTCTCACCGATACCTTCACACACACAATGAGATGAAACAGCCTGGTCTCATAGAATAGACGTAATTAGACGTACCTAGACAAATTAGAGTGATATGTTATGTTTGGTGTGGTTACATAAGACAGATGGTTACTTAAGGCAAAAACAAAAGTAGGGTGGTTTGTCGAGGTGGATGGATATAACGCGAATATCTATCAACCCAAAGGTTGTGTGTTCAAATCTCATCACGGACAACTTTAGCATTTTAGCTAATTAGCAACTTGCAACTACTTAACATGTTAGCTAACCCTTCCCCTAACCCAACGCTAACCTTAACCTTTTTAACTAACCCTTCCCCTAACCCTAACCTTAACTACCTAGCCTAGCTAAAGTTAGCCAGCTAGTTAATGTTAGCAACCTAGCTAGAATTCATAACATATCATAAGTTTTGCAAATTCATAACATGTTGTACGTTTGCAAATTCGTAACAAATAATACGATTTGTAATTCGTAACATATCATACGAAATGGGTGATGGAAATCCACAAATTAATACATACAACATTTGAGGGAGTCTATTCAATCAACCACTACACACACCCGTATGTGCGCAAATACACACACAACAATATGTACAGTACACACCAGTGGAGGCTGCTGAGGGGAGGACGGCTCATAATAATGGCTGGAACGGAGCGAATGGAATGGCATCAAACACCTGGAAAACATGTTAGATGTATTTGACACCATGCCACTCATTCTGCTCCAGACATTACCACTAGCCCGTTCTCCGCCAATTAAGGTGCCACCAACACACATACAACAATCAGGGCCCGTATGGTTTGTGTGTGTTTAGCCCACTCCTCCTCACCTAATCTAATGCTGCAGGCATAAAAAGACACCTGAGTGGAGTTTCCACATCCGGTTTTCAACAGAAAAGGAAGCTAGGTTATAGATAGCTGCATCCCTGAAAACCAGATGAATCCGGTTGTTGGCAACTGGGGTGCTCCTCACCAGACAGACACGGTGTGATGTCCTCCCCTGCCCCCTCTCACCTCTCCTCCTTCCACCATCCTCTCCTTCTCTCCTCCCCTGCCCCCTCTCACCTCTCCTCGTTCCACCATCCTCTCCTTCTCTCCTCCCCTGCCCCCGTGCACCTCTTCCCCTCCTCTCCTCCCCTGCCCCCGTGCACCTCTTCCCCTCCTCTCCTCCCATGCCCCCGTGCACCTCTCCTCCTTCCACCATCCTCTCCCCCACTTTCTCTTAACAGGGGGATTTACCAGAAATATTTTGAAAGAAAGCTACAATTTCACACCATGTTGTTATTGACTACTAACAAACCCTTAGGCCTAGATTCAATCAGATCAAGTGTTAACAGGTGATAGAAGACACCAACATACAGGGCCGGCCCGCTCATTAGGCAGGGTTAGGCCGCCGCCTATGGTGGCAGATTGAAGAGGGCGGCATTTTCTGAGCTAAACTGACCAAGACACACCTCCAACAACAACACATACAACCTCACATAATTCTGCCCAAAATCAATGACAATTTCGTTCAACCAGTGGCATATGGGCTTTTTAAGTGAGAGCTGATGCCACACTGTGATAAGCAGTGCCCACTTTGTCAAAGGATGGGGGGCAAAATATTTTGCTTGTCATTTCCCAGCGCGCCTCTCTGTTGGAGAGAGGCATCACTGTGGTGCTCCACCAAAGTTCCATCAAATAAATAATCTAACATAAATCATGTAGCAGATATAGCCAGGGTAAAACATGAGCATTTCACAATAATTAAAACTAAATGTCAAGAAAACTGTAGGCTATTACACCAATTTTTATCATTACCACATGTCAGAGGCATGACAAACAAGCGAATGGACTTGAAAATGGGAGGTATAGCCTACGCTCAAACACGATGTGGTTCGACAAGAACAGTGACATTTTGCCAAGGCAGTGATGAGTGGCTGACACCGAAATGGGCGCGGACAGCAGTGGACGCATCAATTCTGGCCTGATGACAATAGCCAAATTTGTCATTACACTTTTTGGTGTTTTGTGTAACAGATGTCTCTTTCCATTCACCACTGTCTGGAGGCTGAAAATGTTTTGCAAGTGGATGGATGTGCGTGGGTAGCCTATGAAGGAGTCATTTTAAGTGATTGTTTGACAATCAGATGAAAACATCTTGACTGGTTGTGTTTATGCCACAATAAAAGGTCATACATTTTAAAAGTTAAATGACAAATCTTTAAGACTAGGCCCACAGAGATCCTATTGAATTAACATGGACTATATTCTATGATAAGGCCCATAAGAAATGTTTGTTCACGCGCCAGGAAGAAATTCATTCTACTTTCACCCATGGATATAGCATATGGTAGAAATAGTATGTGGCCTTTTCTGTAGCCTACAGGCTGGAGATCAAATGTATGACAATGTAATGAGACGGAAACTTTTTACATCATACAGGTTTCTTCAATCAAATAGCCTAACCTAAATGGCACCCAATCAAATAGCCTAACCTAAATGGCACCCAATCAAATAGCCTAACCTAAATGGCACCCAATCAAATAGCCTAACCTAAATGGCACCCAATCAAATAAAAAGTGACATGTTAACAAACAACATATCCTAAAACAGGACAGGTCAAAGTAAAATTGACAATATGGAATGGACAATCAGGCTACTCACAACTGCTCTCCAGGAGTTTCACCCCCTTGGCTAAATTGTCATGATCAGTGGTTTCAAGTTTGTAACTGTCCATTGTTGACGAGCTGATCATGGCAAAAAAGAAAATACTTCTTTCCCACTGTGTAAGCACATTGCAAATAGGCTCCTGATAAAGTTTGGTATTCAGAGCTTAAATAGCTACATTTATTAGTCACAGGAATCAGAACTAATAAAGCCAATGCAAAGGCCTGTTTTACAAATGGTGACCCTACTACATGGATGGGAATTAAATCAATTCCTTTGCAGGCAGACATGGTAGGCTACACCCCAGTAAGCACAACCCGACGCAGACGTCTTCTGGATGTCTTTTTTGTGTGTGTTTTACAAAGGGTAGGCCTACCACATAGATGGGCATTCATAAAATTCAATTTCAGGCAACACTGTAGGCTACACCTCAGTAAGCACGGTTTGAAGCCGACGCCTTTTGGAAGTCTTTTTTAGAAATATGACTATGCCTTGATTTCCACGGATGTTGATTTGGTCCAAACATAGATGTCTATTTAACTTTCATTCAGAACTGAAAATGAACCTGATTTCAACGTACAGAAAATACGTATTTTCAACGTCCGGAAAATACATATTTTCAATATCCGGAAAATACGTATTTTCAACTTTCATTCAGAACAGAAAATGAACCTGATTTCAATGTCTGGAACATACATATTTTCACATTTCAATGAACCTAACTTCAACGTCTTGAAAATATGTATTTTAGACATCTTTTCAACGTCATTTTGCTTACTGGGACTATTCTAGTTTTGTGGGGGGCAGCAGATTTTTGTCTTGCCCCGGGGCGGCAGAATAGCCAGGACCCGCCCTGCCCGCATAGCGGATGTTTTGGCGGTGTCAGAGGTGGAACTGTAGTCAAAACGGTGAGCGGCTGCTCTTGCGATCATTGTCACGAAGCCACACCCGCCCCACTCGTGTTAGAAGTTCAGAACGAGAATGTGTAGGCTATTTAAGCAATAAGGCCTGAGGAGCTGTGGTATATGGCCAACATACTACGGCTAAGGGCTGATCTTATACAAAACGCAACGCGGAGTGCCTGGCCACAGCCCTTAGCCGTGGTATATTAGCCATATATCACAAACCCCCGAAATGCCTTATTGCTATTATAAACTGGTTACCAACTTAGAGCAGTAAAAATAAATGTTTTGTCATACCTGTGGTATACGGTCTGATATACCATGGCTGTCAGCCAATCAGCATTCAGGGCTCGAACCACCCAGTTTATAAATATAAATAATAACGCTCAAATTGAAAAATCATTAAACAAAAATGAGGATTTCTATCATCTTAATAGAGGTGTAGATTACATCTCACATTCCAGTGTTTGAACTTGTAATCAAGGCTGCATGGGATTTATGTTAATGTGACTCACGCCGTCAGCTTTAGGTATAATGCCAGGAGCCACTTGTGGATTTGATAGCTCTTAACGCAGTGCCACCTCCGACACCGTCAAAACAACCACTATGCAGATGTTGGCTAAAGCTGATCTGATTTAATCGAGCCCTTAATCCATGTCTGACAAGGTTGTCATTGTTGTGGGTGTCAGCGTAGGACAACTCGGAAGTCTGTTTACTCTTTCACAATCATCTGCATCATTTGTACAGACTGTGTCTGTGAGGGACCTATTAATGATATACTCTGATCAGATTGAGGCAAGCCAGTCGATCCGGAAATCAATCAATCTGTCAAGCTCTGCATGTTGACAGTTAGGTGTCATCAGACCTGTGGCAGACAAGTGTTAATCAATGATGGAGCGTCTGATGGAACTCATGGTTGAGGAAATGGCGGCGAGTAATGAGGACAAAATTGAGAAGTTGTTGGTGAAGCAACAGCTGTGCTGGAATGAGAACAATATGGGTGTCAGTTCTGATGGTATGGAGCGGGAAGATGAATGGTCAAGGAGTGGAAAGACATAGGAAGAAGAGAGATCATGATACAGAAAGCAGTGGAGTGCCTAGTAAAGAAAGCATAAAGAGGGCCAAGGTAGGAAGCAAGAGTCGTGATGTGTTGTAGTGGAAAGTGGTGATGGTGTTTGATGAGACCACGGGCCTCACTTACACCCTATACCACTAACGCGGTAGAGAAAGAGGTAGGTGAAGTGAAATTAGCTTGGTTTATTGGAAATGGTAGATTGTTAATATTGTGTGGTAGCCAGGCTCAGCAAGAGAAGATCCTAAAAATGGAAAAGCTTAATGTCAATAAGATTAAAAGTCATGCCCCTGGTGCTTATGCTAGATTGAGGGGAGTCATCACTGGGGTCCCAATATCTATGTCCATAGATGATATTAAAGAAAATGTGAAGGGAGGAAGAGTGATTGAGGCCAAAAGGTTGATCAGTAGGAAAGAAGGTAAAAGAAGTGAAAGCCTATCAGTGCTGCTGAGGTTTGAGAAGGTTATGCCTGGGAAAAGTACAGATAGGATTCCTTACTGTCCCATCCCCATTGCGGTGTTTTAAATGCCAAAGAATGGGACATGTAGCTGTTCAATGTAAAGGAAGGAAAAGATGTGCCAAGTGTGGAGGGGAACATGATTACGGTGAATGTAGGATCAATGTGAAGGTTAAGTGTTGTAATTGTGGGGGGGAACATAGTGCAGCATTTGGTAGATGCCAGGTGCAGAGAGATGCTATAAAGGCTCAGAGATATAGAATCAGTCATAATGTATTGTATGCAGAGGCTGTAAGACCGATTGGTGGAAAACAGTGTGGAATGATGGAGCTTCCATGGCTGCTCCTGTAGTGAGTGGACCTAATGTCAGGGCTGGTGTTTCTCCTGGTCCTGGCATGGTTTGGAGACCTGTTCAGATATCTTGCACTCATGAATGTGCTGTGTCAAAGGACACTTTGATAATGAGTAAAGTTGACTTCATAGCTTTTATTGGTAAGGTTATCAACACTACTCGGGTGTGGAGAGCAGAAATGCCAGTTTGAAGGTTATTGTGGCGACAGCAACAGAGATATTGGGGCTAACAGATGTTACTGTTGAAATTGTTGTTGACATACTGAACAATCCTAAGGGTGGAGTGTTTCAGCATGATATAGATAAAGTTTAATGGGGTAGGGGGGTTGGGGAGGGTTTTTTGGGGGAGGGTGTAGTAGAAGTTCATAGGGATTTATTTGGTTTCTATTTTATTTTCATGGTAGTACAGAATTGGGCAGATCATGATTGATCGTACATTCCAGCATAGGTGGCAGCACTAAACCATTGTTTGTGGACCGCCATGACATCATGGAAGAAGACGATGCTCCGCATCTCCTCTGGCCCGAGTCACTCAGCAGCCAGACTGCATTTAAAAAGCCAGCCGGACTGTATTTAAACAGACAGACAGATCTGACTATGATTAACTAGAGTGGAGAATAATAACATCCACTCCCAGAGACCAGCAGCAATCACCACTTGTCTCACAATACAGCATCAGAGATAGAAGGGGCAGACGGCCTATGATTTGAGTTATTCTGCAAAAACTTTTATTGAACATAAGCATTTCAATTGTCAACACGTGATCAGCGGTACAGTACCATAGGTTGAATCAAAACGCTTCATATATGCACATCATTTTCAGAATATATACATACAGTGGGAACAAGAATTAAATAACAATGCTCAATAACATTCAGATATATTATATCTAGTAAAAGCTGAGATGATCGATACCTAAAGACACATGTAGAAAGAAGTAAATAAAAACAAAAAGGCCATCCATCAGCCACATTTACATATTGAGAGTAGAACGCCTGAAGACCAGATTTCATTGGAAAACAGCACTAGGGCCGACGAACAGCATTACAGTAAAGGGCTCTATTGAATTCGTATAGCGGAAGTTCAGCGTTAAAGCGCAATTAAAATTTAAAGGCAATGTTCCCGCGTTAGCGCAGACTGCATTCACGGTAAACGCTGCATCTGTCAGCTAAATCGGAAACTACCTTTACATTTCTACAGTGCAATCTGTAACGCTTCAGCGATCCAGACTGAACAGAGACCTAAGTGTAGTGTAGAGCTGGAGCCAATAGAACAGTACAGTTAGTGTACAGCAGAAGCCAATCAAATAGCAGTAGTGTAGAGCTGGAGCCAATAGAAAAACAGAACAGTAAGTGTAGTGCCAATACAAAAGCAATACAGTAAGCGGGTGGCACATTGACAGTCTCTCTCTCGACTAGAGTTCCGAGGAGGATGAAGGTGGAGGAAGAGATGGATAGATGAGGATTAGGCAAATGGAAGAAAAATAAAAAGTAAATAGAGGGCGTTTACAGTGGTCACTTAGGGAACTCATGATTTCCTTTCTAAATCATCGGAACCTCTGGAGATGGTTTTAAATGTAGATTTAAAAAAACAGTAACAAACAAAGGAAACAGAACCAAGACGGGCTATGTGACTGGGCTAAAACAGACAGTAAGGTTTTTGCCCAAGTTCAGCATGTTGAGGATAGCTGGGGTGCGGGCAACGGTTTGACCAGGTAGAGCTTGTCTCCTTGTTCGCCGGTGAAGATGGGGGCTTTCTTGTAGTGTTCCACCAGTTCATCTATGGAGCTAAACCTGCGCTGGCCAATACAGTAGACCCCCTCTGAACACTGCACCTTGAAGTGCTTGTTCTTCCCAGGCGCCTTCAGAGACACAGAGAAATCACTGGGCTAGATGGAGAAGGATGGAGAGAGTGAGGGGGGGAGAGTCAGTTAATTTACTCAAAACACAGATGAAATGTCTCCAACAAACACTCTCTACTTTACTAACACAAGGGGGGAAAAGGAACTTGTCTGTCAGCCCTGCATTAAAGAACATAATTGGTTAAAAGAAAATTGTGATAAATAAAAAAGTATACCAGTTTCATTTAAGGACCAAAGGATTGACAGCCGTCCAATATAGATTGCAAAATAGTTGGGAAGAGATTTTTGACGTACCGATCCCATGGCATAGTGTTTATGAACTGATACGCAAAACGATGCCGGATTCAAAACTTAGAATTTTTGAATTTAAATATATTATACAAAATTCTTGCTACCAATAGAATGTTATTATATGGGGGATACAACCATCCCAGCTCTGCAGATTTTGCTGCGAAGAGACAGAATCATTAGATCATTTGTTTTGGTACTGTCCATTTGTAGCTTGTTTTTGGTCACAGGTCCAGGAATGGCTAAAGGATTGCAATATTTACCTGGAGCTAACCCTGCAGATAGCACTACTGGGTGATCTGAAAAGTCATAGTCAATCGATCAATAATATAATAATACCTTTAGCAAAAATGTTTATTTTCAATTTACAATCTGTAGAAACAATGAGAATAGAAGGGTTCAGAACTTTTGTGAAACATCACAGTACAGTTGAAAAATATATGGCAAATAGAAATCCAATATGGATGGTGTTATGAGATAGATGGGAGGTGTTGAATGGAGCTGAAGGATGGGACTAATAACAACTAACAACAACTAACAACAACAAGATAACTAATGTAAAGCATACTGTGTCCATAATAAGTATATTGTTTATAGGTTGAGCGCTTTTGTGAAAGAGCAGTTAGAAAGATATGGCATATAGAAGCAAATCGGATGGACATCATGAAAAATGATCGGAGAGGTTGAGGGTAGAGGAAGTTCAGGAGTAAAAACAAACAAAATAGAATTATTGTAAAATTGACTGTGTCCATAAAATGTATATAGTATGTATAAACTGGAAGTAGAGGCCTAAGCGTTTTTGTTGACTAGTTTACCCCAATTAGGGAAGGAGTGGTGGGGTTGGAAAGTAATAAAGGGAAATATTTTTTTTTTAAAGGATATATATATATATATATATATATATATATATGCGAGAGAAAAAAAACATTGGAAGTAATGCAGACAATTACATTGATGGAAGTTACAATCTATCTGCAATTTAAAGCTGATCTACCATTTAAAACTAAAACCAGCAGAGGGCACTATGACTTCATTTATAAATCACAGGCCAATACTTATGCTGTTCATGTGTGCAGATACTGTATACCTCCTATTCTCCAACTTAGTATTTTATCCTTGGGAAGATCTCTATTGCCACTCCTCGCGTCCTCTCTCCTCAAAACCCATTGGAGGAGAAGGTCAGAGAGGAGGGACATGAGTGTAAAGTGGTAAAGTGGTTTTCCCACTGGCTATAGGGTGAATGCACCAATTTGTAAGTCGCTCTGGATAAGAGCGTCTGCTAAATGACTAAAATGTAAATGTAAAATGAGTATGGAATAGACATCATCCCCTTCCCTCCATCCTTCTATCCTCTATCTCCCCCTCAACTCTACCATCTATCCCAGCGGGGGGGGGGGGGGGGGGTCTATCCCTTCTCACACACTCCTACCTCCTTCCCTAATCCCATTCCTCCCTTTCCTTCATCCTCTCCTCCCCCACTCACCGATGACTCGCTGTCCCGTATGAGGAAGTCCCCCTCCTCTCCTCTCTCGTTGAGGACCAGCTCTGCCTGGTGTCTGGTCACCCCTCCGTAGTACCAGTCCCTGCCTGCAAACTTGCCCTCGCACGCCGGGGCCACGTAGCCAATCTGTGGGGAGCCGGGGGGCGACAGCGGCAGGGCAGGGAGCCCGGGAGGCCCGTTGGTGTCATTCAGCACCAGCACGTAGTTCTTGGGCACCAGGCCCAGAAGGCCGCGGGCGTTCCGGCAGCGCCACCACTCTGGGTCGTTCTCTGGTTTCTCCACCACCTCCATCACCTCTCCTTTCTCAAAGTTCAGCTCCTCCTCAGTCACTGAGCTGAACGGGTACAGAGTCTGGACCAGCTGGAGTGCACCACCGCCCTCGCAACCCCGGCTGACACCACCTACCGCACGCCCGATGGTCATCATGGCCTCCCTGCCCTGCCCTGGATAACCTGGGGAGTCCCTTCCTCCTCCACCCCCCTCACCCTCTGTGGGGTCCTCCAGGACATAGTTAGAGGGGAACCAGCCCACACGGCCCCCCTGGCTGCCCCGCCACCAACCGTCACTGCACTTCTCCATCACCGTGACCCGGGACCCCTTGGCTAGGGTCAGCTCGTCCTCGCGCTCCGCCGTGTACGAGAACTTGACCACGGCCAGGATGTTGAGGTCGTAGATACGCTCGGCCCCTCCTCCTCCGCCACCACCTCCTCCACTCCCATTGGAGGGGTACTCCGCATCCGTGCTGGGCGTGGGGGAGGCATCACTGGCACTCTGCTTCCTTCTGCCCTTACCCAGTCCTGATAGAGAGAGAGTTTGTTTATTATCTATTTCACTTGCTTTGGCAATGCAAACATATGTTTCCCATGCCAATAAAGCCTTTACATTGAATTGAAAATTGAGGAAAAGAATGAGAGAGAGAAAGAATCACTACATCAGTATGTTAAGCTAACCTAACATGACATTTTATTTTAGAGAGCCAGTCAAATACAACATGTATGTTGTTGCCAGTGGACTGAATCAAAAGTACTGCAGGTTTCTTCTAGTTGGCAGCATTGGCAGGGACTGGTACTACAACTGGTACTAACCAGACACTAAGTAAAGGATAATCAACTAGGGGCTATGCGTCCTATGGAAAATAATGAACGACGTTGATGGTGTGTTCCACAACGCGCTAGCGGAATGGAACTCACCTTCCACGGAGTTGCATTATTTTCCAGAGAATGCATAGAGCCCTGAGTAGATTATCCCTTTTATACCAAGGCTATAATTTACCACATTTACTGCTAGAAATGTGTCCATTTGCCGGTAGAAATGTGTTCAACATCCACTGAAGTAGCTAGCAAGTTTACTAGATAGCTACAGTAGTTGCCTTGGTAACCAAACAAACAGACTTGCTAGTTTAGCTAACCAAACCACCAGGCCTAGCTTGATATTATGAAAATTGAATTCAACAACGCCAATAATGTTTTCAATTCGACATTGGCTTTCAAAAGCAGCTCAAACATAGAACATGTAAGAATGAACTATAGCCAATTAATTCTACCGTGCAGATATACCGTGCGTTATAGGGAATTACACAACGGGTGGGTCTAATCCTGGACCCTGATTGGTTAAAACCGCATTCCAGCCCGTGTCTACTCCACAAGTGACGACCGGCTAAAGCTATGACATTGAAATGCCTATTTACTCTGTTCCATCTCACTGTGCAATCCACTGTCTCATCAGCCCAGCCAGGCAATTTATAAACTTGATCTCCACTGTAAAAACCATCTAGACATTATCTCCCATTTCTTTAAGACTAGCAATTGGTTTTCAATAGCGATTTAAATAAAACTTGTGGTCTCTTTCTCTGACATTTGCAACATTGTTTCAATATTGAAATTTGATCTCCAGCTGTCCCATAGTAATGAACGTGTAGGGGTCGGGAGTCGGGACGAGACAGACAGGCAGGCAGCTTTTCTCAGCCAGTTGAAATCATGAATAAGCATAATTTTTAAGGACATACAAAATAAATATCAATAGAAAACAGATCAAACGAAACTAAATGCAGCTAGTTTGCAGTCTTTCCAGCTTCAGTTTGAAGTGATTGTGTTAGCTGTGTTGTTGGCTAGCTCCACTGAACAACAGTGTCCTGATGAGAGAGCACATTTTCTATGGCAGGTGAAATCGCGCATCATTAGCTCTTTCTTATGAATGTATCTAAATAAATGTCACTAGAAAACAACTTAAACATGCAGCTACTTTGCTGTTATTCTGGCTGCACTGTTTAATTTGACTGTAAGTTAGCCGTAGTTGGCTAGCTAGCAAGCAAAGGATAAGAACATTGCTAGTATGGCAATAGAACATTTAGAATGAACGACTGGGTCGCGTCCATAGATACAGAACCAAAAGACTTAACGACAGGATCGCGTCTCTGGCAACCGAACCGATAGAAAGAACGACCAGCCGTCATGGGTAGCAACCCTAGATTTGTGTCAGGACTATATTTTGTGGAAGGATGAAATAGTATGAATCAATTAATCAAAATGTTAATGAAAATATGTCAATCATTATTTGAATATGTTGGTAACCCGTTCTATAAAAAAGTGATAATGCCCTCGAAGCCGGTGTTTGGAGGATATATTGGCACAGTTTGCCGGCCCTCGACGAACCCATGCCAATATATCCTCCAAACACCGGCTTCGAGGGCATTATCACTTAAATAATGCACTCTCTAGAATGCCCTTCAAGCCAGTCAGAAACTACTATTCAACAATGTAATGGTATAAATATATTTCATATCTACAACCGAAGACACTTGAGTTATTTGATAAGTCATAACTCCAGTGGTACTGAGAAAGCTTTGAGTAAATGAGACAGCAGGAGCCTAAGCTGATTCAGGACACTGGGAGACAAGTCAGGGGTTAGGGGGGGCAGGACACTGGGAGACAAGGCAGCGGTTAAGGGGGGCAGGACACTAATTGAGGCTTCAGGCTGCACTCTGGGCCCAGTGGGGGAGTAACACTTAAGATACAGGACAAACGACCACCTCCTCAGGGAGCTGAGAGAGGGAAAGCACACACAATGTTCTCAATCACATACAGGTAACTGCCAAAATAAAGGAAACACCAGCAGAAAGTGTCTTAATAGGCCGTTGGGCCACCATAACCCAGAACAGCTTCAAACTAATGTTCTCAATCATATACAGTACATACAAGATAGCACACACATGCACAGAACACTACATACACACAAATTCTCTCTAACCCACATATAGTAAACACACCCAAGTGACACACACACTCCCTCCATCACAACTGTTAGTGTGTTCATCACAACTCACATCTCCTCATTAAACCAGGCGTTCAACACAACCGACATGTTCTAGCTCAGCTACCCGTGTTCCCTCAAAAAGCTGAAAATAGTGCATGCGGGCTGGGGAGGAAAGTGGAGCAGACAGCCTGGTGCGTGGCTCTGCTGTGGTTCTGACAGGCAGGCAGGGGATCAAAGGTGCCTCTCCTCCTACCCGTCTCATCGCCCTGCCCTCCATCTCCTGCACAACGAAGACAGCAAGCTCTCTCCTGTCTCCTCCATGCTGGTTATTTACCTGCTGTAACCCATGTGGAGCGCTAGCTAGGGCCAACTAAGAGTTGTTCTGATTCACCCAGGGAGATGGGTGACTGACATACAGATTACTAATGGCTGAGGTGGTTGGATGCTGGGCATCAGACAGACCCCCATCAGGGCAGCTCCTACTGTACAAACCAATTACATCTTAAATAAAAGTAACCAAAGATACGGCATAACTAACAGAATAACTAAAGTAATTACAATTGCATTCCACCGCACACACATTCCCAATGCTGTAATTTGTTTAGTCACAACACAGGGAATTGTGACAAGTGTGTGTGTGTCAGTGTGTGTGTTACAGTGTAGAGCCAAGTCACAGCTCTGGAAATGACTGAGTTAACTCAGGAAGTTATTGGTTCACACAGAGTGGCACTAAACTTTCCTCCTGCTTTGTTGTGTGAGAGAGGAGGAGGTGAGGAGGGGAGAGGGGGGAGGAGGGTCCCTTGGCAGCTGTTACAAACACACAGAAGACCAGACATCATAGGACAGAGCTGACAGAAAATACAGAAAAAGAGAGCGAGCGAGAGAAAGAGAGAGAGGGTGAGAGAAAGGAGATAGGGGAAAAAAGAGTGAGAGAAAGAAAGACAGAAGGGGATGGCAAATGCAAACAAGACAGGAATATTGAACAGACCATAATGTTTAAAAGAATAGTCAAGGTCCATGTTAAACAAGGGCACAGCAAGCCACTCCTGCATTGTCTTGGCTGTGTGCTTAGGGTCGTTGTCCTGTTGGAAGGTGAACCTTCACCCCAGTCTGAGGTCGAGGAGCAGGTTTTCATCAAGTATCTCTCTGTACTTTGCTCCGTTCATCTTTCCCTCGATCCTGACTAGTCTCCCAGTCCCTGCCGCTGAAAAACATCAGCCACAGCATGATGCTGCCACCACAATGCTTCGTAGGGATGGTGACAGGTTTCCTCCAGATGTGACGCTTGGCATTCAGGCCAAAGAGTTCAATCTTGGTTTCATCAGACCAGAGAATCTTGTTTCCCATGGTCTGAGAGTCCTTTAGGTGCCTTTTGGCAAACTCCAAGTGGGCTGTCATGTGCCTTTTACTGAGGAGTGGCTTCCGTCTGGCCACCCTACCATAAAGGCCTGATTGGTGGAGTGCTGCAGAGATGGTTGTCCTTCTGGAAGGATCTCCCATCTCCACAGAGGAACTCTAGAGCTCTGTCAGAGTGACCATCGGGTTCTTGGTCACCTCACTGAACAAGGCCCTTCTCCCCCGATTGCTCAGTTTGGCCGGGCTGCCAGCTCTAGGAAGAGTGTTGGTGGTTCCAAATTTCTTCCATTTAACAATGAGGCCACTGTGTTCTTGGGGACCTTCAATGCTGCAGAAATGTTTTGGCACCCTTTCCCAGATCTGTGCCTCGACACAATCATGTCGCGGAGCTCTAGGGACAATTCCTTTGACCTCATGGCTTGGTTTTTGATGTGACATGCACTGTCAACTGTGGGACCTTTCGGTTGAAGTCGGAAGTTTACATACACTTAGGTTGGAGTCATTAAAACTTGTTTTTCAACCACTCCACAAATGTCTTGTTAACAAACTATAGTTTTGGCAAGTCGGTTAGGACATCTACTTTGTGCATGACACAAGTAATTTTTCCTACAATTGTTTACAGACAGATTATTTCACTTAGAATTCACTGTATCACAATTCCAGTGGGTCCAAAGTTGGGTTCATCCTTGGGAGCAATTTCCAAATGCCTGAAGGTACCACGTTCTTCTGTAGAAACAATAGTACGCAAGTATAAACACCATGGGACCACGCAGCAGTCAAACCGCTCAGGAAGGAGCGTTCTGTCTCCCAGAACAACAGCAAAGGACCTTGAGAAGATATTGGAGGAAACAGGTACAAAAGTATCTATATCCACAGTAAAACAAGTCCTATATCGACATAACCTGAAAGGCCGCTCAGCAAGGAAGAAGCCACTGCTGCAAAACCGCCATAAAAAAGCCAGACTATGGTTTGCAACTGCACATGGGGACAAAGATCGTACTTTTTGGAGAAATGTCCTCTGGTCTGATGAAACAAAAATAGAACTGTTTGGCCATAATGACCATCGTTATGTTTGGAGGAAAAGGGGGATACCTTGCAAGCCGAAGAACACCATCCCAACCGTGAAGCACGGGGGTGGCAACATCATGCTGTGGGGTGCTTTGCTGCAGGAGGGACTGGTGCACTTCACAAAATAAATGGCATCATGAGGAAGGAAAATTATGTGGATATATTGAAGCAACATCTCAAGACATCAGTCAGGAAGTTAAAGCTTGGTCGCAAATGGGTCTTCCAAATGGACAATGACCCCAAGCATACTTCCAAAGTTGTGGCAAAATGGCTTAAGGACAACAAAGTCAAGGTATTGGAGTGGCCATCACAAAGCCCTGACCTCAATTCTATAGAAAATTATTTGTGGGCAGAACTGAAAAAGCATGTGCGAGCAAAGGAGGCCTACAAACCTGACTCAGTTACACCAGCTCTGTCAGGAGGAATGGGCCAAAATTCACCCAACTTATTGTGGGAAGCTTGTGGAAGGCTACCCGAAACGTTTGACCCAAGTTAAACAATTTAAAGGCAATGCTACCAAATACTAATTGAGTGTATGTAAACTTCTGACCCACTGGGAATGTGATGAAATAAATAAAAGCTGAAATAAATCACTCTACTATTATTCTGACATTTCACATTCTTAAAATAAAGTGGTGATCCTAACTGACCTAAGAAAGGAATTTTTACTAAGATTAAATGTCAGGAATTGTGAAAAACTGAGTTTAAATGTATTTGGCTAAGGTGTATGTAAACTTCCGACTTCAACTGTACATAGACAGGTGTGTGTCTTTCCAAATCATGTCCAATCAATAGAATTTACCACAGGTGGACCCCAATCAAGTTGTAGAAACATCAAGGATGATCATTGGAAACAGGATGCACCTGAGCTCAATTTTAAGTCTCATAGCAAAGGGTCTGAATACTTACAGTACCAGTCAAAAGTTAGGACATACCTACTCATTCAAGGGTTTTTCTTTATTTTTTACTATTTTCTACATTGTAGAATAATAGTGAAGACATCAAAATGATGAAATAACACATATGGAATCATGTAGTAAAAAAAAAAAAAAATTGAAATTGAAAAATATTTTATATTTGAGATTCTTCAAATAGCCACCCTTTGCCTTGATGACAGCTTTGCACACTCTTGTCTTTCATATATGCTTACTACGCCAATGAACAGCTATTTCATATATGCTTACTACGCCAATGAACAGCTATTTCATATATGCTTACTACGCCAATGAACAGCTATTTCATATATGCTTACTACGCCAATGAACAGCTATTTCATATATGCTTACTACGCCAATGAACAGCTATTTCATATATGCTTACTACGCCAATGAACAGCTATTTCATATATGCTTACTACGCCAATGAACAGCTATTTCATATATGCTTACTACGCCAATGAACAGCTATTTCATATATGCTTACTACGCCAATGAACAGCTATTTCATATATGCTTACTACGCCAATGAACAGCTATTTCATATATGCTTACTACGCCAATGAACAGCTATTTCATATATGCTTACTACGCCAATGAACAGCTATTTCATATATGCTTACTACGCCAATGAACAGCTATTTCATATATGCTTACTACGCCAATGAACAGCTATTTCATATATGCTTACTACGCCAATGAACAGCTATTTCATATATGCTTACTACGCCAATGAACAGCTATTTCATATATGCTTACTACGCCAATGAACAGCTATTTCATATATGCTTACTACGCCAATGAACAGCTATTTCATATATGCTTACTACGCCAATGAACAGCTATTTCATATATGCTTACTACGCCAATGAACAGCTATTTCATATATGCTTACTACGCCAATGAACAGCTATTTCATATATGCTTACTACGCCAATGAACAGCTATTTTGACTGCAATAATAACAGTCTAATAAATACATTTCATATATGCTAATCGGAAAAAAATATCCTTCTGTTGCGTTTATTAAGATCTTGGGTAACACTAGAATATATAAAATATATTATATTTCAAAAGAACACAACAGCATTTTCCTTATTTATGTTGCTGTACGCGATCTGCTGCCACGTGCTCACATGTGGTGCGCAAAAGGAACAGCGGTTATTCTTGGAAAAAGTGATATTTTAAAAATAGAACTAATCTCTTCAATTTTGAGAGTTAAGTGTTTTGGAAACCTCCGAATCTGCTCTTTGTGATACTATACAGAACACGTATATACCAAAACGTCTTACCTGCATGTGACTACGGAGGAGTATTTGAAAAAGTAATTATTTGGCACTCCAGGAAAATGTTATCTTAAAATTGCATATAACACAAATTCTGTTTGTGATATCAAAATGCTAACATACTGTACACGTGTGTTAAATACTTATTTTAGAGAAGTCAAGAACAGAGGCGGGCATGACTTTAAAAATGGCAGAGTTATTTATATTTTAAATTCATATGCAGTCAAAATGACTGCCGGGGTGCTTCTAGTGTTTTAATAGACTTACTAGTCATTTTTGTATTTAATTTGAGAAGGGATTTTATTTTTTATTTTTAATGTGACCCAACATGAAACCTCTCCTCCTGGGCCTACTTCAAGCCATCCCGTGGAGAGACTGAGCTGTCGACTGCCTCAGGGTAGAGAGCAGAGATATGCAGAGGGCAGCAGACACAAAGTCCCCCGAGACCCACACAGCCCAGCTC